GGTTTGTTTAAAATTCCTTTGAGTGTGCTGAGACATATAGCATCAAGATATTTCAATTATTCAGAGTTGCTTAAATTTTTGTTTGGGGTGATTTTTTTTAAATTTTAATATTTAATATTAAAATTAAAAAAAAAAGAGTAAGTTTTATAATATTTACAATGTTTATAATATCTATTATTTATTTTTTATATTTTTGTTTTTAGATCAAAAGCTTGACTTTAATTTAATGAACATTTTTTATTTTAATTATTTTTTTCTTTTGAGTTATAAGATTTTGTTTAATTTTTTCAAGGAAATACAAGGTCTAATGAATGATTTATCAAGTAATCTTGTTAATACAAAAAGTAAGAATTGTTTTCATATTTTTTTTATCTCAAAAAAAAAAAAAAAAATAGTTTTTTTTTTTATTATTTGTAAGTTTTGTTTTTCCTCTCATACTTACAAAATATATTTATTACTTAATTGAAATGGGGAAACTTCTCTACAAATAATGTAATTTTAATTTAATGGTTAAAAGGCTGACTGGTAGCAAGATTTCCTGGAATCTCAGAGAGACTGGTTCAATCAACAGCTGTAAAATAACTGTGTTTTACATTTGCATACTTATCTAAAACCCTTATTACTTTTGCTAGTTATAAGAAATTCTTTTTTTTTTTTGTCACTTCGAACAAGAGTGCTGCTAATTACTTAACATTAAGACAAGAAAGAATTCCTAAGCACTGATGATGCATTGAATGATGTTTGAGAAAGAAAAAAAAAAGACAAATAAAAGATTTAGAGCATGAAGGAAGAAACACAGGATGTGACTTTGCTGAATGTTGAGTCACTCAATATGGTGTTGGTGGTTGGGGGAACAGGTGATAAATTTTTGAGAGATCTAAGAAACAATTTTGTAAGACTGTGACAGGACTGCTATCTAGACCTCAAGCGGTAAAAGAGTATAAATGAGAAGTAACTTTAACAAAGGAAGCAGTGGTTTGGATGTCAAATAGTAGATTAGCCTTTTTCTTTATCATAACAATACACGTGTGTTCATTAGATTCTAGTGATAAATTAGAGAATAGGTTTTTTTTGCATATACTTCTGTCTTATCTTTGGGATAGGTGCTAAGATCAGACTGATGTATTTGTTAATCACATTATTGAGGATTTTCCAAAAAACTCAAAAAGTTATGCTTGTATATAATATGCTAAAAATTTGAAATATTACTATTTACTTTTAGTCTTGTTAACTAAAAAAAAATATTTTATTAGGGGTTTATTGTTTACATATTATTTAAAGATCCAGAATATGATCCAAAACATGATTACCCATAGAGCATGATATAGTTTATGGAAAACCTCTTCTGAACAAGATGTTCTTTGGTTAATCCATTTTTATAGATTTTCAAGTATGTTATTTTGATTCAGAATTTTAGTATGAGGTAAACAGATAAAGTTTAGTATGGGGTAAACAGGTTCTATATGTTGACCAGCTTTGCACCCCTTTTTCATCTATTAGGCTGGTGCAGGTGTATTTATAATACATTTTTTCCAGTTTAGGATGTTGAATGCTGGATCTTCTTGACTCAATGCATGGGTTTTGCTTGTGTCTCTGTTTTTATGACTAGGCAACTCATTCTAGTATCTCCTGATGAGGGTACAGCTCTAAAACTCAATTTTATGGTTTTGAGGCTGGCTGGTAATCAGGTTTCCCGAACACTGTGGTAGTTCTCAGAGAGGCTTATTCCATCAACAGCTGTAAAATATCAGAGTACTAACAGTGCCATGTTGTGCATGAATGGTATCCTTGTTTGTACTTTTGGTGTGCATTGTTGAGACCACATATGGAGTTCTTTGTTACCGCTTAGGGTTTATTAATAGTAATGAGGCAATTGCTTGGACTATTAAAGAGTGTACTGAGTACTATCTATGCTTCAACTCAAGTTCTTTAACAATTTTAAAAATGACCAAAGTACCAAAAACTACGAAACACAAAAAAAACATTGCTATCATCATCTTCTCTAAACCTATCATTCACTAATATTCATGGTCTTCAAAGTAATTTTTCTTCTGTTGAGTCTTATCTCTTGCAAAGTCCACCAAATCTATTTACTCTTTGTGAGACTAATTTGAGTTCAGCTGTTCTATCTTGTGATCTCAGTGTTGATGGTTATCTTAATTTTATTTGTAAAGACTCCACTAGTCACATGCTTGGCCTAGGCATTTACATTCATAAGAATTCGCCCATTTATCAGGAGACTAGGTTTGAATCTACCAACTATTTTTTTATGTGCTTTCATTTAGCACCACTTTGTTCTGTTGCATTTCTCTTTGTTCTATATTGCTCTCTTTAATCTCAAAACTGCACTCTTCGATGTTATTTCTAATCAAATTAACCAACTCCTCTCTCTTTATCCATCAGCCAATATTGTTATTGTTGGTGACTTTAATGCTTATCACACTGAATAGCTTGGCTATAGTGTAGATTACTCTGCAGGTGTTATGGCCCACAACTTTTGCCTTTCTCAATCTCCAAATCAAATAGTCAACTTTCCAACTCGTTTTTCTGACTAGTGTTGTGAAGGTAAAATTTACCGGAAAATTTACCAGAAAATTTTCCAGTAAATTTACTGGAAAATTTTGAAAATTTACTGCCTGGTAAATTTTAAAATTTTTTTCACTTTTTTTTTTTATTTTTCTTTAATTTTTTAAGGAAAATTTACCGTTCTCTATTTAAAATTTACCAATAAATTTACTGGTAAATTTTACTGATGAATTTTGAATCAAATTTTACTGGAAAATTTACATCACTATTTCTGACAACCTGAATCATTTACCTTCTCTACTCGACTTATGTCTTGTTTCTGATTCTAGCCAATGCTCGGTTTCTCCACATTTACCCTTAGGTGCTTCTGATCATAGTTTCTGACTGGGACTCTTTTCATGATTTTTGTTGTCATGGCCCTTGGGTAGAAATCTTTTGTTTTCCTGCTGATAAATGTGCTTCTTACATAACTTCTTGGGTTAAGGTTGGCATGGAATCTTTTATTTCCTCTCGACAATTCCAAGTCAAACCTTACTCCTTTACTGGTTTACCTTACATTGTTCTGCTGCAATTTCGAATCAAAACCATTACTTCCATATCTATCACCAAAACAATTCTCCAGAAAACAGACGTTGTTACTATTGCTAGAAACCATTGTTAAAGGTTTTGTCTAACACCAAACTTTTTTGAACTTTTTTGCCTAAGTCCGCTATTCTCTGGTCATGAAATCTTGTATTTTATCTCAAAAATTAGGCTCTTGTGACTTCTGGAGAAGCTCTTATAGTATAAATAATAAGCGGAAATCTGTTATTCCATCTCTCTTGTATGGTTCAGATTTTGTCACCTCGCCTAAAGACATAGCTGAATTGTTTGCTAAGAACTTTTGATCAACATCATCTCTTGATTCCACAAGTTGCATTTTACCTGATATTGCAGACAATCAGGTTGATTAACTACTTGAAATTCATATTACTCCAGCATCTGTATCTAAAAAGCTAGTATCTCTTGTGCCATCTACTAAAGTTCATTCTCGTGTTACTCATCATTCAATTAAGTCTCATCCTATTTCTGTGAGTATTCCTAAGTGCTCCAAAAACTTGTGTTTGTCTAGTTTTTTTCCTTGAACTTCAGTTCTTTAGAATTCGCTTTCTTCATCTTGCTTTCCTGATTCATATAATTTACAATCTTTAAGGTCATCTGTCAATCGTTATCTTGCTCTATAAACTTTATCTTTTCTCTTCCAGTAACTTCCAACTCTAATAGTGGTTGCTTGCAGCCTCGTTGGAAGAAAGATGTTAAAAAAAAAGGTAATTAATTCTGTACTTAGGAAATTCAATAGAATAATTTTCAAAAGTTCTTTGCATTTATCCATTGCATTCATCCTCCTTCTTTGATGCTGTTGTGTAACCATATTCTTTTAACTTATTTTTATTATCTAAACGAACATAAAACTTATAAATTAAGTATTAACATCGAATGGGGGTAATCTCGCAATACTATGTAACAATGGTAAAATTAATATAAATTATCTATTTGAAACAGTAAAAGAAAAAAACATGTTTGACTTTACTAAAATTTGTTGCATTTACTAAATGCCATGATTGCATTCACTAAAGGCCATGGTTGACTAAAATATTTTTTTTTACATTATGATTATTCACATAATCATATATAAAAAAAAGTTTGAAATTTTGGAAAAGTTTGAAAATGGAAATTATTTAACACTCACAAACTTAGCTGTTCAAGATTTATTACAAATTATAGCAATATTTTAAACTGGTAGTTAGTTAAAGTTTTCAGTGCTTTTTCATTCTTTTTGTATCAAGTGTTGCTTTCTTGCTCGACTATTCCAAATGCTGACATAATATGGAAATTTAGTAAAACTTTTCTGCTGACCAAGTAGAAAGTTTGCCATTTTTAGGTCTACACAAATAATTCAGTTGTGCTCTGGATATTTAATCAATTTAAGCACTATTTTAATGTAATGGTAAGTCACTTGTAAATAAACAGAATGGTCAATTGGTGCGATACTAAAAATATTGTTATTTTGCAAAAGGACACATTTGAGGTTTTAAGCTATCAATATACTTATACAATATACGTTTCCATTCTTATATGCAGAAATACCCAACTGCAATATCATTACAAGAAAAAAATGAATGGACTTCTGAAAAAAAGTTAACAAATATTTCTTCTCTTGTTCTTAAGTAGGAAACTTTTACAAAGCTGTCGGTTTTCTTCCTTTAATCGAAAGGCTAATAGCTCTGCTACCTTAGTCGTGTACTAGGTGTTAATTACTTTTTGCCTAAAACACTAAGGCAATTTTAAATATTTCCATTAGAGTCTTCGAAATCAATATTAATTCTTTTATTTCTATAACAGACATACTTTGTTTATCTTCTGACAAAAATCTTTAAAAATTGGAACTAGAATCTTTTTAGAATGTTGGTGAATGAATGATTGAATATTGAGTTAGTGTAGTAGTTAAGAGATTTTCTGCCTCTTTATTTTTCCAATACCAGAAGAATTAACAAAATAAAAATAATAGTTTTCAATATGATTTAGTCTCCTCACCATGGGGACTCCAAAATGTAAACTTTTTTTTTTCTTTTTGTCCAATTTTGAAGAAAATATGATATTTTATACATTGTATTTGGAGCCCACTTTTTGTCTTAGTCATCAATTTTAATATCAAAATATGACTTATGTTACTTTACGAAATTAGTTATGTTTCATCTTTGTCTGATAATTGTAAAGCAGCCACAGATATAACAGAAAGAATTAAGATTATGTTTACACATATGTTGATTTAACTATGAAATGAAAATGAATAACCTTATTTTTGAAAAGTAAAAAAAATTGTAAAAAAAAACTAAAGCTCGCTGACAAAAACAGAGCTTTAGATATTTGAAATCAGTGTTAAAAATTACATAATAAAAAAAATAGTTTTTTTTTGTATACCTGTTTTAAGTTATTTAATTTTACAAAATGTATATACAAATAAAAAGGAGATATATTATCTAAGTAATTAATCCTTTTTTTTTATTTTTCACAAGTTTTAGGAATAAATACAAATCCTGAATAAAGCTGAATACTTGCATTTTGGTTAACTTTTTAAGGGTCTCTTTTGTAAAATCCTATAAAAGCAGACCGTAACTATTCAACAACTTTATACAATTGTTATCTTATAAAAAATGATAGTAAAGCTACTGTCAGGGCTAAAGAAATATAAATTTTGTCTGAAAAATAATAAAGAAAAATAAATCATATGCAAAAATTTAAAGTTGTAAATTTACATGTTTAATCACTTATTAAGTTTTAATGTGAGTCATTAGAATTTTTTAATTTTTTTTTCTAGAACACTTTTTTTTAATGAACCAATTTTCTAAATAATTTTTATTTAGAAAAATTGTTGGGTTCTAAGGGTTATAGGTCTGTAAAGGTTGGGTTATATCTAAAGGTTAGGTTATATTGGCTTCTAAAGGTTGGCATCAATCAATTCTTATAAGTTTTATTAATATTAGTTTCTCTCTATTTTTCACTTTTTTTTTTTTTGTATTATTTCCTTTCTTTTATATCTTTTTTACTATTATCTTTTTCCCCAATATATATCATTAATAACTAATTTGAATTGAAAAAATTAGAAAATTTACCAGATTCATATATATAACTAATTTATTTTACAGTTAAGAAGAATTGCACTGTGTTTACTTCACGAGAAACATACATTCTTACCTGTACTAATGAAGAATTTAACGTACGTTTAGCCAACATGGATGCTGATGATCTTGAAAAATCGAAACGAGTGCTAGAAAATGAGTTAAGTTACATTGACAAGCAGTTGAAAGATTCTTTAAGTGCTGAAGAGTATATATTTTTTTGTTATTCTATATATAATTTCATGTTTTTTTTTCTTTTTATCACAGATTTACTTAATCATTTAACCACTTTTAAATTTTGTGATTTGATCCTGGACATTATCATACATTGCTATTTTCAAATGCTGTGTAGATTTAGGTTTAATATATTCCCAAAATCACAAAATTTTGTTTATCTTTATATATGCATATACATATATATGTTTTTTTTTTAGAAATAAAATGTACACTCTAAAAACAGGACCAATGACACCGGGGAGGGGGCACATGCCCCCCACCCCCATTTATTTTATTGAGGACCTTTGTTTCTTTTTTTTTTATTATCTTTTTTTTTATTAAGAAAAATCTTGATATAGAGGACTTTTTTCACAAATTGATGATTGTGCCCTCCCCCACTTCAAATCCCTTGTCGTCGGCCCTGAAAAAAAAATCTGTTGCATACAACAGATCAATCCAATGTATTATACCAATGGTTTTTCTGTTAAACTAATGGATTAAAATTTGTATAGATTGAAGTTTGTTGACGTTAGTCCATTAAAATTGAGGATTTATTACATTACTGCAATGAAAAATCTTTTGAAATAAAGGACACTTGTGCATCAAATAAATAGGTGTTGCAATTACGTTAAAAAGTTATTATGTTAAACTCCCATAAAATTAAGTACAAAAAGATCTTTAAACTTTTAAAAAAAATAATCTATTCAACTTATTCTTTATAGTGAAATTATGATCAAAACAAGAATAAGTAAGCAAGTCAAAACAAATGCAATTAGCAATATAAAATTTTCAGTTTTACAAAAGATTCAAACTTATAGTGTAATACCACATGGCACACGTCTAAAACTACAATTTTTAAAATAATGTATAAAAGTTATAAAATAATGCAAACAATAAGTATAAACTTAGTTGTAGTAGCTAAATTAAATAATCTTAAAAAATAAATAATTAAATAATCAAATAATTAATAATAATAAAATAAATAATTCAAATTTACTGGTACTCAATCTGCTCCAGCAACAAGTATAATTCAAATTTGCTGTTACTCAATCTGCTTCAGCAACAAGTATAATTTAAATTTACTGTTACTCAATCTGCTCCAGCAACAAGTATAATTCAAATTTACTGTTACTCAATCTGCTCCAGCAACAAGTATAATTCAAATTTACTGTTACTCAATCTGCTCCAGCAACAAGCATAGTTCATTTACTGTTACTCAATCTGCTCCAGCAACAAAAATTATGAGAAAATACTGGCAATTTATAAACTTAATGCAACAAATCTTTTATCTATGAATTAGATATGAATATCTATGACATAAATATAATTTAGGTTCCTGCAAACAAAAAAGATTTTTAACAAGTTTATTTAAAAAATAAAAAGAAACAAACAGTTTAACTGTAATACCTGAACATAAGTTTATCAATGTGATGAAATTTTTTTAAGATTAAATTGTGAGGTAGGTATGTATAATTCAATGTTTTACACCACCAATATTTGTGCTAAATTTCTGTGTCATGTTCATTGAACTTTGTGTTTTGACTGTAGGGTAAGATGGTATTTTGTTGTTTAGCTTTTTAGATTTTTTATTACATTAAATAGAATAATTAAACTTTATTAAAATGTGACTTTTGATGATGAACTATAAGTGGATTTTTTGACATCCAAAACTTTGTTGTATTTTGTGCATTCAGTAAATTTCGAAGGTCATCAAAAGAAAAGAAAATATTATAAATGCTTAAAGAGCCAAAGTTAGATATATAAAAAAAAAAAATACAAATACATTATTACAGTAGAAGTATTTGCAACCATACAATTACAGAAAGGCTATAAAAGAAAAAAAGCAAAAAAAAAAGGAGAATAATTTACATTGGCTAGTTTAGAAAATAATATGAAGAAGGATATTGCTATTTGAAATAAGAAGAAAATTGAAAGTCTCATGCGTTACAAACTAGAATGATAATTTATAGCTTGTTGTTGTCTAATAACCTAACAGTAATACTGCATTCTTATTAGAGAAAATTGCACAATATTTTAGTGTTGAGTTTATTCCCCAGTGTATTATTGTTGAGCAAATGACTCATGAGCTTGGAAGTATATCTGAGCTGCAAACAGGTGGTAATACTGCAAACAGGTGGTAAGTGGTATGACTGGCAAAAAAGCACTGCAAACAGTGTGACTTGCAATATGCATGTTGTATATACAAAAAATTGAAACAATTTTTTTTCTCTTCCATATACAAATTCAACTCCACAAGGTCGAGGATAATATGTAGTTATGTAGTCATAATGTGTAGTTATGTTATCATAAATCATTAGAGTTTAGGGGGCTACTCATTTGGTTTGTACACTTTTTTTAATTTATGGTTACAACCCACTTTTAGCCTCATTGTGTTTATTGTTAAAAATGATTATTTAGTTTGTTAAATGAAATTTAAAATTTTAATCATTCACCTAAAGCCAAAACACAAATTAATTAAAAGTTGTTTCAAAGTATATATATATATATATATATATATATATATATATATATATATATATATATATATATATATATATATATATATATATATATATATATATATATATATATATATATATATATAAAGTTGTATTATAGTTTGAGCAGGGTTGAAACACTACAACAGTAGAAATATATACTATGATGCATCTTATTCTCTGGTGAAATATATTTATTAAATTAACTCGTATAATTTTCAGTAATATTACCTTTAATATTTTGAAATTTAAATTTAATTTTAAAAACAAATTTATATATATGTTCAAGCATGTTTAATATAAAATATGTTCAAGCATGTTTAATATAAAATGTTTTTACATGTTCAAGCATGTTTAATATTAAATGTTTTTACATGTTCAAGCAATAAAAAGAGAAACCACTTTTGATTCAGATTGTAAAAAATCAACTCGACTATGTAATAAATGTAGTAATAATTGCCAGATGTAGTAACATAGGGGGCTAAAAAGAAAATTTTGCAATTTGTGACTGTAGTATTTGCAAACTAACCAGTTTACATGAACCCAAACAAGAGCAAGTTTTCCAGTGATTAGTTGTGCACTTGAAAATTTGTTTATAATAGATCAAGAATTTGATGTTAAAATAGAAAATTTGAAAGGAAAATAAAAATGTTCTATTATTAAGTGCAGAGATATTAAAATTACTTGTGATTAAAAAGATGAACAAAGCAATCCAACAGTCTAACTCGATGATGGAGGAAAAGGCATGAAGTAATAAAATTAATGTAATAAATTTGTTTACATATCTTATTCCAAACATGTTTCTGTACAATTTGATTTAATTTCAAACTAAAATAAACTGCACAATATTTTGTAAAAATATTAATTTTCATATTTTAGATGTTTGAAACATACTGTCAGAATGTAAGGACAAACATGAAGAAGTTGGGAAAAATAATCATGAAGACAAAAGAATCTCAGAGTTTTGAAGAACCTCAGAATTCAAAATAAAAATAAAATTCTGTAAAAACTTATTTTTTACTAGCTTTAATTCTCAATGTTCCTGAAAGCCAATGTTTCTTTATTGATGTACTTAATTTAGGTCTTAATTGTAGTAAAATAACAATATGCTATGTATATATAATATGATCTTAAACTTTGTTGAATAATTGTATTATCTCAAAGATCTATGGCTACACAACATTGCCATATATGCAAATGGAAAAGAATGGTTCCATTTAAAGAACCTTAGAACTTTGGATTAGTTTAATTGACAGTACTAAAAATTTTCTTAATCTTGTTCAATCAAGTATAATGCTAAAGATTTTAGTAATGTTATTATTCTTCTATTAGTACATGCGGAAATTTGTGGTAGACTACCTTTTTCTGCCAGAGTAACACCTCGTAGAGGTAGATATAAATCATATTCATAATCAAATTGAAGAATAACGTGGTGAAAAAGAAGTTGCTAAAATTTTAATTGTTTTGAACATTTCACAAGATGTCCAGAAAAATGAATTTAATGGAAATGCCTCCACGGAAATCCTAAAAAATTTTAATAGTACATAATATATATGATTATTGCTTGTTAACATTGGCTAATGGCTATATGTTAACAATTTAATGAAAAATGGTCATCTTTTAAAATTCCATAATGATTTTCAACAAACTTTGAGAATCAATACAGAACACTTGTTGAAGATTATGGAATGTTTTGTTAAAAATTTATGTTTTTTTAAAACATATAACAGGCCTTGTTTTAAAGCGTAGAGTGATTTATGTATGCCTTAAGCAATTTTATGTAAGCAGCAAGCAGTTTTACTAATAAACAAAAAGCTCAAATAAGATTAAAAATTAACTTTTATTTTGTTTATAATTTAACTTTTTTAACTGATTTAAAAAATATATAGTTTAATTTTTATTTAAAAAATATATTTAAGTTTATTAAAATTAAAGTCGAAAATATTACTAAATATTGTTCAATATATAAATTTTATTTATTCTTAAAAAAAAGCTAGCTCGTTTTTATCGCAATTGTTTTTTCAGTTTTCTGTCCTAAACATTATTTTTTTTTAAACTTATAACTAAATTTTAAATAAACGGCTGCATCAAAAAGTTGCACAAAACGCAAGTTAAATCATTTGTTATTGCAAAGCTGCAATTAGAAATTTAAGCAATAATCATTTAAAAATTCAAAAATTTTACATATTCATTTATGTAAATGTCAAAAGAAAAAAATAGAAATTTGTTAATATCAAATATTTCTAAAAATGTAATATTAAATTTAATTATTTAATATTAAAAAAATAAATGAAAGAAAATAAACATTCCCCTATAGTAATAATAAAAAAGAAGTTAAATAATATTTAACTTGATTTCCAGTAATTAATATTGCAAAATTAAAAAAAGTTACTCTTTAAAAAATAAAAAAAATAAAAAGAGTTTTATGACGTCAAATTCACATTAAAGTATTGTGTAAAGCTTTTTTTATTTAAAACAAGGTTAAGCCTTTTTGTGCAGTAAGAGGGCGTTAGTTTGGCTTCTACTATGAGCAAGTGGTTAAAGCATTTTTTTTACAGCTTTTTTATTGATGCTTGGAATAAATTCAAAGTTATAAAAAAATAACAGCTCCTTTGCTGAATATTTGAAAAAATATGAAATCAGTTTTGACAAAATAAAACCTTATTGCAAATTCTATACACATTAATACAAAATAAATATTGCAAATTCTATACACATTGCAATTTTGTTGTGGCAGCAACAATTGACAAAAGTTTAGTTGACAAAACAACAACAGTTTTAATCTGTACAAATGTATTATTGTCTGGTTATTGTGTTAAATGCAAGTTTTTCTTTACTGAAAATTAAACTTGACTTTTTTGTAAATTTTTTAACTAATGTTGCCTTTAAAGGCATCATTGCAACTTTTTTTTTAATTTTTGCTTTTATAGTGGTTGCTTGCAGCCTTGTTAGAATCTTCGCTTCTAACAAGGCTGAAAGCAACCACTATAAGAGTTGGAAGTTACTGGAAGAGAAAAAATGAAATTTATAGAGCAAGATAACAATTAACAGACGACTTAAAAGATTGCAAATTATATGAATCAGGAAAACAAGATGAAGAAAGTGAGTTCCAAAGAACTGATGTTCGAGGAAAAAAACTAGACAAATAAGAGTTTTTCGAGCACTTAGGAACAGTCACAGAAAAAGAATGAGGCTTAATTGAATGACGAGTAACACGAGAGTGGATTTTAGAAGATGGCACAAGAGACAGTAGCTCTTTAGACCAGTGTCCACTATAGTATTTATAGAAAAGAGAAAGAGAAGCAACGATACAATGATATGGTAATGGTTGGACGTTGGCTGTAAGAGCAGGTCCAACTATGTTTACAATGCGTTTTTGTACCTTGTCTAAAAGAGAAAGAGCATCATTAAAAGATCCGCCCCAGATATGGTAACAGTGTTCCATACACGGTCGGATTTGAGATTTATATAGATAAAGAATAGAATCCGAAGTAAGAAAGTCGCGCTTGATAAAGAGATGCAACCTTAGCAGATGCTAATTTTGCAATGCATTTGATATATGGTTTCTAAGAAAGATAAGAAGTAAGAGTTAATTCTAGAAGATTAAGGGTAACTTAAAAAATTACAGCAATTTTGCTGGCATCACTCCAACTCATCCTGTTCCAAAGTGAAATAATAAAACTCAAAGATTATCACCAGTGAATTAAATCAAGTTCATGAAACTGGTGATAATCAAAGATTCTTACCAGTGTCATGAATTACAAATTCGTGTTTTATATAAGCATTGTTTAATCAATAATAGAATTGACTTTGATTGATATTTGAGATTTATTGAAGAGACTTGACAACAGCACAGTACCAAGAAACTTGACAACAGCACAATACCAAGAAACTTGACAACAGCACAGTACCAAGAATTCATTCATCATTTTAATCATTAAAATTTGAAAAATTGATGATTATTAAAATTCATATTTTATTTAATTATTTTTTTAATAAAGATTTTTTTTTTTTGCTGACACATCTGATTCTGACAATAATTGATTTTTAGTCACAGTTGATATAATAAATCTAATGAATGATATGCTGCTTAAAAAATTTATTTTTTGTTGTTTAATAATCGATGTTATTAATAATACTTTAACAACATGAGTTTGTTACATTATAAATGTCAAAATTCGAGAGAATCTGAATTAAGTTCTAGCAAAATCCCAAATAAATCCATTCATGATCTTTGTTTATGATCAGGCTGTCTTTTTCTTGTTTGCTATTAAAATAAATTTATTGGAAAAAAATTTTAAATTTTTTTTTTATGAATTGCTTAAATATTTTTTTAAAAAAACTTGAAAACTTGAAAACGGGAATCTATATTTATTATTTTTTTCTTCTTCATATATGTTGTAAATGTGTCTCCTCCATATATGTTGTAAATGTGTCTCCTCCATATATGTTGTAAATGTGTCTCCTCCATATATGTTGTAAATGTGTCTCCTCCATATATGCTTGTCTGTAAATGGTAATGCTTGAAAACAGGAATCTATATTTATTATTTTTTTCTTCTTCATATATGTTGTAAATGTGTCTCCTCCATATATGTTGTAAATGTGTCTCCTCCATATATGCTTGTCCTAAATAATAAAAAATTCATGTTTAAATCTAAATTAACTACAGTGTGATAAATAATTTTTAAATAATACAATCTTGTAGTTAATTAAGTTTTTTATATTTTTTTTGTGTTAACTTTAAAACCATGAAAAATAAAAGACTTACAGATTTTAATGAAATTATGTTGAAGAGTGATATTCATATATTTTTTATATTTTGTTTTGTTAATAAAAAAATTTTTTACTGATAAAAATTTTTGTTGGAATTATAATTAGTAAAAACAATTACAACTTTTTTTTTAAGTAAAAGAAATTTATCATTGTCTTTGTTATCTCTAATAATTTTTATCAATAAACAGTTTCTATTTATTTTGCAATAATGTATATAGATAATATTTATATAATAAAAATATATAATAATTTATATTTAGAGAAATTCTAAAAAACAAGAAAGAAATTATATGGCTGCGTTTATCAGCATGCATCGAGGTATTTTTTTGTTATTTTTATTGGTCTATATTAGTGAGTTTAAATTGCTTATATAAGTATTATAATACCTTCTATTTTAAGAAAATGAGAAACAAAAACTAGATGATTGTTTGAAAATTTAGTATTTGCATTACAAACTATTTAGATCCATAACTTTAGAAACAAATAGATTTTAGTTGTGTTTACAAGTAAATTGTGGAAAAACAGTTTTTGCTACAGCGATTTTTTTATTTGTCTTCAATTGCAGTAAAAACCAGTGTCTATCTGTATTAAAAAATTAATTCACCAAAGGTATTAATTCACCAAAATTATATATTAATTCACCAAAGAGTGGTGGGTCAAAATGGGTAATTTTAACTAATTTGTTATTAGAGTGTATAAAAGTAATTGGTTTTAATAAATTTTAAACACAGCATTCTATATTTTATAAAAAAATTTTAGATCTGATAAAGACCTTAGCTACATATTGTTAAAGTTATAATTTTTTAACATATTGTTAAGGTTATAATTTTTTAACATATTGTTAAGGTTATAATTTTTTAACATATTGTTAAGGTTATAATTTTTTAACATGTTGTTAAGGTTATAATTTTTTAACATATTGTTAAGGTTATAATTTTTTAACATATTGTTAAGGTTATAATTTTTTAACATATTGTTAAGGTTATAATTTTTTAACATATTGTTAAGGTTATAATTTTTTAACATGTTGTTAAGGTTATAATTTTTTAACATATTGTTAAGGTTATAATTTTTTAACATATTGTTAAGGTTATAATTTTTTAACATATTGTTAAGGTTATAATTTTTTAACATGTTGTTAAGGTTATAATTTTTTAACATGTTGTTAAGGTTATAATTTTTTAACATATTGTTAAGGTTATAATTTTTTAACATATTGTTAAGGTTATAATTTTTTAACATATTGTTAAGGTTATAATTTTTTAACATATTGTTAAGGTTATAATTTTTTAACATGTTGTTAAGGTTATAATTTTTTAACATGTTGTTAAGGTTATAAGTTTTTATCATTTTGTTAAGGTTATAGTTTTTTAATATATTGTTAAGGTTATAATTTTTTAACATATTGTTAAGGTTATAAGTTTTTAACATTTTGTTAAGGTTATAGTTTTTTAATATATTGTTAACATATATTGGTTGTAAGTTTTGATAAAAATTTAGAAAAAAAAGACAACTAATTTTATTTATTAATATATACATAAAACTATTCAGTAAAATTCAGTGATATAAATCACCAAAAACTTTGAATGAAAAGAATTGTAAAAAAATTAATGATAAAGTTAAAATGAACAGTTAAAATTGATGTTTTAATAAAAAAAAAGTGTTTTACTCTAAAAGTACATTAACATAAATGCATAGGAAAAAAGTGTCTTAAAGCAAAACAAAAGAATGCCTCTTTTTAATATAAAACTTTTAAATCTTTCAAAATTGTAAATAAATAGACTGAAAATATCTAACATGTACAAAATGTTTTTCTAAAACAATTTTTTTATTAAGTTCCTGCAAATTTGACTAAAAATATCATAATAAAATTTAAAGTTTAGAAAATTATTTTAAATTTGATTAATACATGTCTTACAACAAATGTCAAAGTGTTGCTTTATAATATTCAAAATTTTTTCTTGAATTAATAATTTGTTATCATTTAAGGTTTTTTTTTGTTATTTAAGATTTGTATTTGGAAAAAACTGTTTTTTCTAAAATCTTTAACGCTCATTTATCTCATTCATGTCGTTCAGGTTCATTACACATTCATGTCACAGGTTCGTTGCACATTCATGTCACAGGTTCGTTGCACATTCATGTCACAGGTTCGTTGCACATTTATGTCACAGGTTCGTTGCACATTTATGTCTCAGGTTCATTGCACATTCATGTCACAGGTTCTTTCCACATTAATGGCTCAGGTTCGTTGCACATTTATTTCTCAGGTTCATTGCACATTCACACACAGGTTCGTTGCACATTCATGGCTCAAGTTCGTTGCACATTTATGTCTCAGGTTCGTTGCATATTCATGCCACAGGTTTGTTGCACATTCATGTCACAGGTTCATTGCAAAGTACAATAGGTTAGGTTATTCAGCAACAAAATTATTATAAAAAATTATGTTGTTATATGATGTTAATACATTATTTTTATTAAGTCAAAAAAGCTTTATATTTTGTAAACTTTGACAAAACTTGGCGTCAGACTTTGCTATTCTGATGAGTTTGATTTATATAATTGCTTTATTTGTAAATGGGATGATTTTTGTAATGGAGATTTGAATGTCAACCAATTTCAATTTAACTGTGTTGCAACGAAGTGCATTCCCTGGTGCACATATGCAATTTCAACGAAGTGCATTCCCTGGTGCACATATGCAAAAAAAGTTGAATCTCTCAATACATTTTGTGACTCGTTATGGCTTAAGTTATCTCTGTTCTGTTTTCTTAAGTTTACTTGTTTTGATTATGTTCTAGGGCATTAACATTGTTATACAGATAATATTGTTAAACATAAATTTAACTTTGTTATGGAGGATAATATTGTTCAACATAAATCTACTTTTTTAAGTTTTAGACTTTGAATTGCTTTAATAAATCTAATCTTTTTCTACTTTCTTCTCGCGTAGGCAATCCAAGTGCTTCCAGTCTCTTTTCAAAAGTATGATGTCTCAGAGAGGTTATTACTTTAGTTGCACAGTGTTGAATTTACTCCAGTTTGTTGATGTAGACACATGTAGGTGCAGTGGATTGCAAAATCTAAATGAAGTAAAATGTATGCGGTGTATAGAATTCTCCCGAAAAGTTCACCACGCCCTGTGAATGGTTATTTTAGCATAACTAATTTTTAGTTTGTTTATGCTGCTGTTGCTGTTGATGACTTTTGATTGAAATTTTAATAGTTTTTTTATTAAGTTAAACTGGTTCAAGTCTATTGCAGATACATTTAAAAGTATTTCTTTATTTTTTCTTTAATCATTAGTTATAAAACTTGTTTAATAATTAAAATCTTATGCAAATATTTATAATTCTAATTAGTTGTTTAGCTTATTTTTTTCAGGGGTTGCTCAAGACCACATTTTTGAATAATAAAAGAAATAATAAAAGGAATAAATAATAAGAAAAAGAAGAAAAAGAAGAAAAAGAAGAAAATTACATAAAAGTTTCAAAAACCATTTTAATTTAAAAGCATCTTTAAAAAAATGATAAATAAAAATAAACTTCTTTGTTTTTTTGTTAAATAAATTTGAATGATTTATATAAGGTGGTGCAAGCAAACTTTCTTTTCAATGCTGTTTTACAAATTGCCCTTGTTGTGATATTATGTGATTTAAATTGTTGGGTATCGTCAATCATTGATTAACAAACATTTATTTTAGTTATATATGTAATTTTTATATTTATAATTTTTATTTACTTCTGCTCTTTTAATTAGGTTGATTACAATGATTTTTGTTATTGAGATCCATACATAGGGGATGTTATTAAGACAGAGAATGTTATGAGACATAGGGGATATACATTGACAGATATAATTATAATTTTAAATTATAAGTTTGAAATTTACATTTTTAAAAGGATTTTAAAAATGTAAATTTCAAACAAGTTTGTTTAGTTTTATTTATAAATATTTTATTTTAGCAAAGAGAACTTTTGAAAAAACAGCTTAGTGATAAAGATTTTCTTAGTATGTTGTTAACAACAACTGTTGCTGATCAAAAAGACAAAACAACTTTGAATGAGATATCACTTAATTTGGAGCAAAATACAAAAGAAGGATTATTATGTTCTGAACTAAAAGAAATGACTGAGAAGAGTTCAGCTACACAAATGACTGATGAACAGAGTGTTGCGATATCTGAGAAGCAGATTTCTATGGACCAAATATCAAGTGAACAAATTATGGTTTGAAAATCTTTTACTATTTTTTTAAATTTTTTTAATTTTTTGAAAATTCAATGATATTTGATTTTATAACTTTTTTGTTGTCATATCTGGGCTGGTTCTTCTTGAGTGCTTTGTAATTCTTCTTATATATAGTTATTTCTAGTTTGTATTTTATTTATTTTTTTTACTTTTTAAGAATACTGAAACCAGTAATGGAATAGAAGCACACAAATTGATGACAGAATGGAATCCTGTATGTTTTTCAATTACGTGATTTTCATTATCATTACTATGTGAGTATTTAGATATAAGACATAAAATAAGACATGCAATCATAAGGTCTCTACATACAAATGATATTGTGGTGATAGATTGAATGTGGATGTATTTTCTTGTCAAAAAGTCAATGTTTTATTGGTTCTTTGACAAGAAAATTTTGTGATAATCAATGTGACAAATATTTTATTTGACGCCAAATAACTACTTTGACCTTAGTGTTGATGGCTTAGTGATAATGATCTTAGTAGTTGTTGATGGCTTAGTGATAATGATCTTAGTATTGACGGCTATTATCCTTTGACTTGCAAGGGCTCCAGAAGTCATATGCCTAACCTAGGTATATACTTACTTATCAATTCACCTATTTGTTGTGAAATCACTTTAAAATATTTTGACCATTCTCTTATGTGCTTTGTCTTAGCACCTCTTCACTTAACCTTTTTTTATTATTCCTCTTTTTAATGTTCTCTTTCTTCTCAAGACTGTACTCTTTTAAAAATTGTTTCTGATCAAATTTAAAAAGATCTTTCTTTTTATTCTTCAGATATTGCTGTTATTGGTGACTTGATTGATCATCACACTGAATGGCTCAGGCTTTAGTACCACTAACCCTGCTGGCAACTCTTAATTTAGCCTACTCAAGATTTCAATAATTACAAGCAGAACTATTTTTATAGAGTTTTCAAAAACCTTTGTCTACTTTGATTCTTGAATCTAATGGCAATACTTTTCCTGACATTCCAGTTAAATCATTGTTAGATATTCAAATCACTCTGGCTTCCGTTACTAAAATCATTTCTAAATTAAACTCTTCTAAAGCTTTTGGTCCAGACAACATCCTGTCATAGTCTTACAAAAATGTTTTTTAAAAATCTCATTAAGTCTCTATAAACTATTCAATAATTGCTTGAATGAATCTTTTTTTCTTGCCTGCTGGCAATATAATACAATCACAATAATAAAAATAACATCTGTGGCATTGTTCATTACTGACCTCTCTGCAAACCATATACAAATTGATTGCAAAGTTACTATCTGCTAAGGTTGCTTTTCTTTATCGTGCCATTTTCTTACTCATAATTTTATTCTCTACCTCTGCAAAACTCTTTCTTTTTCCATGTTCAGAATAGTGTTATCATATTTGGTCTGGTTCCTCTAATGATGCTCTTTCTCTTGTCTTCTCAATGTCTAAAAATGCATTGCAAATGTTGCTGGACCTGCTCTATCTGCCAAGATTAAGCCATTGTTCCATCGTTGTAAAGTTGCATCTCTTTCTCTTTTCTTCAAATACTATAATGGTTTCTGCTCAAACAAGCTATCATCTCTAGCTCCATCAACTAAATCTCATCTTTACTTGACTCATCATTCAGCTTACAATAAAAAGATATTTTTTTGTATCTGTTCCTTTATGCTTTTATTCATGTAGTTTTTTTCCTTGCACGTCAATGATTTGGAACTCTTCCTCATCTTTATGTTTTCCAGACTCCCTGCAACTTTTTGAGTCTTGTGTTAACTGTTTCCTTAGTCTTTAAAACTTTGTTTTTTTGTTTCAATTATGCATTTAATCCCAACTTAACAGTGGTTGCTTGCAAGCTTGTTGGAAGTGGATTTCAAAATTGCTTAAGCCTTGTTTTGAATATTTTTTTTACACTTAAGTATTTTACAACTAAATTTGTTTTTGATTTTACAACTTACTTTTCTTCTGGATTTTACAATTTTAAAACTTCTTGTTTGTTGCAGATTTTGTTTGTTATTACTTTTTATTTTTTAAATTAAAATTTATAATTTTCTATAACTATGTAAAAATAATTTATTATTATAATTGATGCAAGAAAATAGTTTTAAAGTTTTATAAAAATTTTTTTTGTTATAAAACTATAATTTTTATTAAATTATATTACATTAAACTACATAAAGTTATAATATTATTATTTATTATTATATTATTTCATCATTACCATAAATCTTTTTTTTTGATAGATAAAACTGTTAGAAGAAATTTTTAGTAAATATACATTGGAAACAAAAAATAAAAAAGAAGAAATATCCTTAAAGGTAATTTTTCCAGATAGTATAGATGTGTTTTGTGTATACTAATTTTTTTAGCTGCTATAATTTTTTACTGTTTAATGCTAATGTTATATATATATATATATATATATATATATATATATATATATATATATATATATATATATATATATATATATATATATATATATATCTATATATCTATATATATATATATATATATATATATATATATATATATATATATATATATATATATATATATATATATATATATATATATATATTAGGGTAGGTCGATTTTAGCTTTTTTTTTGAATTTTGAGTTGCGTAATGTTGCAGTTACTGTGTCTAGGTAAAAATGGCTTGCGGATTTGCATTTTAAGTCTTAATTTTGGACTAGATTGTTTATTTCAAACGTTGCAAAATTTTATTTTAAGTCTACTAATCTCGTTTTAAATTATCTCGTTTTGAGTTTATAAAGTAACCAATAAACAAGCGCAATTGTTTTAAGAAGCCAATAAAGTTTCGCTAAATCGTTTACACGCATTTAAACTTAGGAAATCTTTTTTGTATTTAAATTTCTTGTTTGTATTTTAAAGTTCGTTTTAAAGTTAAATTTATTTAAAAGTAGGTTCAAAAATAAAACTGCAATTTAAAGAAATCTTTTAATATCAAAAGTAAATACTTATGATTATTATATTTAGAGTAATGTTTTAAACTGTTTATATTACATAAGTTTTGATTTGCAATTTCTGAAGTAGATTAAAATATAAAACTTTTATGGAACTAATGGTTTTACTCAATTCCTGAGTTTCCTGAATTCATGGCCCCCAAATCTTTTCAAAAGAGTTTTTATTTCTTTATTTTTTATCAAAGCACGTTTTTAATAGTAAATTTTGATATTTTAGGTTTTTTTGATGTTTTGGCCCCCACTAAAAACTCACGCTGTTGCCCGTTACTTTAAGTGTAAATCTTTAATACAGTTTTCAAATATAATTAATCTACAAAAATGCCGAAAGTAAAGGTTGCAATTACACAGATGAAAAGTGAAAAAAAATATTGTGGCGGCCCATGTGAACTATCAACGACAGATCCAGGCACTTTTAAACAGGTTATTCAGTATTATAACTATCTTATTCATATAAATCCAAATGCAGATATCGTATTAGTGACTCAGCAAATTAGCAATAATATAAAATCAATTCGGGCTACAGTAAACACAAGATTACCTCTTATAACTGACAAATCTATTAATAGGAAAGTTAAAGATCTTTTCGTACTTGTTAAGGATATTAATTGCAAGCACGGAAAAGCAAGCGCTAAAAGAAATCTTGATGCAAATATGAACAAACTTTTTGATATTTTTGCGTGTTTCTGTTCATTAGATGTGTTTCCCTGTAGTGACAGAAAAGTTTCATGTAATAAAGAAAATTGCATCAAAGAACATATTGTATGCCTTTGTTCTCAAAGTAATAAAGTACCTCTGGATGACAGAGCTTATCTTCGTGATCAGAGGGAAAAAATTTGTCCAAAAGGTGCATATCAACTTTCTTCTTGACTTGATAAGGAACGACAAAAAATATCTCATAACCTAGTTAATGAAGATGAATCCCTTATAGCACAAGTAAACTTAATCGAAGAAACAATTGGTTTGACCAATACGGAGGTAAATATTTTATAAATACATGAAATATTTGTAACAGATAAAACAGAAAGCGTTTTATTTTATTAACTCTTTTTAGGATGAAGGTGAATGGAAACCAGTAAATAATCCTATTGGAAAATACAACTTAGTTAAACTTCCAAGATTTGCAATGGAATTAGTCAGCAATGAGTGTTCGTCAGCCGTAGGTGCAGTCTTTGCAAATGCTTTACTACATGACATAAAACATCTCTTGAAAAATGATGTTGATATTAAAGATATTTTGATTGACAAATGCAAGTTAGATAGGGCCAAGTCAAAAGTAAAAATCGTTATTGAAAAGGTGGACTCAGAACAAAAAAAAACAGTTAATTTGTCTTGGGGTTGACAGCAAGCTCGATCAAATAACTAAAACAAGTATAGTAATAAACTTACCTCAAGGAGAAGTGCTAAAGAAATGCATTGAACTTGATCATCAACTCACATTTACTTATGAAGATAGAAAATCGAGTGGAAATTATTTGACTCATAGGATGATTCCTGTCACCGGTGCTACAGGTTTAGTTCTTGCTACCAAAACGTTTAGTGTTTTACAAGAACTTAACAGTTTGGAAAGTATACAAGCTGTTCTTCTTGATAATACTGCTACCAATACTGGACCAATAAGTGGCTTAGTGGTAAAACTAGAAGAGTTTTTAAAAAGAAAACTACATCTAATTGGATGCGCATTACATCAAAATGAACTTCCGTTACGAGCTCTTTTTGTACAACTTGATGATGACACAACTGGGCCAAGAAGCTTTAGTGGTCTACTTGACAAAAGATGTGCTGAAAATATTCAGGATAGAAATCAAGTTTTGTTTAATCGTATTGAAAACCCAATTGTAGATGGATATATTCCAGAAGAAATACTAGTAGACTTAAGTTGCGATCAAAGACTTTTATTTGAATATTGCAAAGGAATAGGCTTTAGTAAAGTTTCTGATAAATGGGCCGCCTCTAAACTTGGACCGCTTAACCATGCAAGGTGGTTAAGTCTAGCTATTTGCCTTCTCTGTTTGTATACTAGAGACAATCAACCAACTGTTTCTTTAAAAAAACTTGTATGTTTTATTGTTCAGGTTTACGCTCCAGCATAGTTCGATATAAAAAAATCTTCAAAATTTCACGAATCCCCGTGCCTTATTTTTTTTATTATCACTAGAATAAATAATCTCCCCTTTGATGATGTTAAACATATTGTTAAAAAAAACATTAAAAACAATGCATTGTGTCTAAAACCTGAAAATATTCTTTATGCCATGTTAAAAGATAATGACAGCAAGATACGAAACTTTGGTTTTCAAATCCTACTGGGTCTAAAACAAAGGTATTTTTTTATAGTAAACTAAAATAAAGTTTTGAAAAAAATTGATACATTAAATGTGGTAATTGGATTTGATTTATATTTATAGAGTAAACAACAAAAGTTTGAAAAAAAATTCCAGAAATTAATTTCAATGCTAATCATTGGTATGAGTTGGTAGATATCAACATTACTAAATTTACGGAGCTCCCAACAGCACAACATTTTTCATTTGAGGAAATCCAATATGCGATTGACAATAATGTTAAACCTGAAATCCCCGACTTTCCATCTCACTCCCAGAGTGTTGAGCGAGCGGTAAAACTTGTGTCGAACGCATCCCAATATGTTTATGGATTCGAGAATCGACACAACTGCATTTTAACTAAACTACTTAGCAGGAAGCAAGCGATTCTTCATCCAAAATCTCTCAAATTTATGAGAGTAATCATATTTTAACTGTCTACAACTACTGCAATATTACGCAATATGCGGAATTAAAATCGAACTACCCTAATATATATATATATATATATATATATATATATATATATATATATATATATATATATATATATATATATAGTTTTATATAGGAGCTTTTACTTATTTATTAATTTAGAAGAAAAAAATGCTTAGTATGCAAGGATATTTATAAATATAATATAAAATACTTATAAATACTTATAAATATAGGAGCTTTTACTTATTTATTAATTTAGAAGAAAAAGATGCTTAATATGCAAGGATATCTGGAGAAATTGCCAATGAATCAAACTAAAGTACTTTGATTTTTTTATTTTTTTGAATTTTGATTTTGGTTTCTGATTAATATTTTCTGGTAACAAGTTTTAAATTTTAATTTGTAGGTAAAACCATTTAAGGGATGGAAAAAAAGATTTTTCAAGATTTCTTCTGGACATCTTTTTTATTATGAGGTGAGACTATTTATTATTATTATTATTATTATTATTATTATTATTATCCTTGATACATATTTTCAAGGTGTCCAGGATTCCAATTTTTCAGAAAAAAAGCCAAATTTACTAATAAATAGGCCAGGTAAGTAAAAAAAAGCTGTGTACATGTAAAGCTGATGAATTTTCTCCAAAAACGATGAGCTTTATGTAAATAAATATTTGAGCAAAATTGCTCAAATTTCTTGTAAAGCTGAACAATTGTAAAGCTGAATGAACAATTAATTCAAAAATGCTGAGTAAAAGCAATTCCTTTTCATAAATTAAAAAAAAAAAAAAAACTTATTTAGTTGTGATATTGATAAAAATTAAACTTTGAGTAAGTTTTTATTCATAGATAGAGATTTGAGTAGACAAAGTGTACATTGAGTAAGTTGTCATTCATTCAGGGTCAAATTTTAAAATAATCAGCACCTAAGACTCAGACTCAATACTTGTTGGAGGGATAGTCTCCAAATTAAATATATACGGGATAAATTACAGGGATAGTCTCCAAATAAAGTTCAAGATAAGCAATTCACTTTCCAGTAGCTTCATAGACTAACATTTCTTTTGAAATGGTTTGAATTTATTGTTTGAATTGTAGTGCTGTTTTTTAGCTGAATGCTGAATTGCTTCCTTGAGTTCATCTTTAAGTGAAAGTGGATTTTTTGTTGAGTTTTTTAGAATTCATTCAAGAAGTCAACACTTCTTGAATGAATTCTAAGTCGTTTGGATTTGTTTGAAAAAACCTAGACAACAAGTTCTTTGTAGTTTTTTGAAGTACAGACTTCAAAGACATTTTGAAAACTTCATGTTCTTTTATGTTAGATAGGAATTCAAGATTGGAAAGATGTCTGTAAAAACTTACAAGATTGCCTTCTCTCTTTGAAAACGTTTTAAAATTGCTATGAGCAATGCAATTCATCACAAAAAACTTGAAAATTGCCTCAGCAATAAGAAGAGTCGCACCGTCTCCGTCACCTTAGTCACCGTCAAAAGGGCTTTTGCTGCCAATTTGACTGGTTAGAACAGCAACTATAATGTATAAAAACTGTAATCAAATGTAGAAAAACGTTTTTAAAACCTTTCTGGAATCATTAACTATTAAAATCATTAAGTCAGAATCTTTAACTTTAAAGTAATTTTATAGACTCCACCAGATGAAACTTTTTTAACTGTTAACAATGGCAAGGAAACTAAATCTATTCATTGTTGTAAGTCTTGAAGTCACTTCTTCAATTTGTTGCTTTGGTAATATCACATTCCAGTGGAACTTGAATATTTACTGATATTTCTACATATTTTGCAAGTCAATTGTTTTTATTTTATCAAGGTGTAGTATTTCCAAATGTCTGAGATTTAGACCAAAACCAAATTAAATTAATTGAAAAATGTTACAATAAACTTATCACAAGAAAGTAGTAATGTTAAACAAATCTTAATTAACAGAACCAGTTTCCAAATAAAACAACCAACAGCTTAGTTAATAGCCAAGTGATTATTTCAAACCTTTTAAAAATCTCTAAATCATTTTTATGGATAATAATTCCTTTTAAATTCCATTAAAAGCATTATGGATAATAATTCCGTTTTTTAGATTTTTGCTAGAGAAAAAAAAAAAATTAGGTAGAGGAGCTCTGATTTATGCAAAGGAAAACAATATACACAACATTAGGAAAACTGTGTATATTTCTGACGGTGGTAGAGAAATTATAACAAAATTTTAACCAATAAGAAAAATAATACTCTATTAGCTTCTTTTTACAGTAAAATAAAAGCACAAAAGAAGCAAAGAAAAGAAAATTTATTTCATTTCAAATGAATTTTTTAATATATACTTTAGTATAATAAAAATAATTATTTACCAAAATTTACCAACATAATTTTACCAGTAAATCTGTGAAATAATTTTACCAACTTACCAGTAAATTTTTAGTAAAAGCTCAACCTTTTTTAATGAATTTGTGCTTGTAAAACCATTACTGTCACCTTTATGATAGCAAAATCAGGTTTTTTGTTAAAGACAAAAAAATTTTTTTTTGATGATTCAATTTTAATATGAAATTTTCATAAATTTTGTTTGTAGAATAGCAAACATACATCATGAATTTTTGTTTATTTTATTTATAGAATCACAATACAAATGTACAACTTGGAAGTATTGAAGTAAAACAAGCAGAAGTACGATTTATGCCCAAATAATGTTTTAGCATATATAATTATTGACAATAATTTTTTCGTCGCTTTTTAAATTTTTTATTTTATTACAGATTGTCATTGAAGCTGAAAAAACTATTAACATTAAGTCTCAGGTTGTTTCTTTGTATGTTTTTTATTATGATGATAATTTTTAAATATATTTTATTTACTTAATAATATTTTTATTTATTAATAAGTTCTTTAGTGTTATAAAAATTTACAATAAAAAGGTTTTTAAATTTGAATTTCAAATAAATTGTTAAATATATTTAAAATGAATTTAAATAATAATTAATTAAAATTAATTATATATATAAATTAGTTAAAAAAACTTTAAATTTAAATATATTTGAAATGAAGTATTGAGAAAAAAAGTAATTTCTTTGAATTGTGTTTATTTTTTCTAGAATATAATGAAAGACTTTTTTTTAAACTTCAACTTGTTCCAAAGATTAATATTGGGTCATGAAATTTGTCCTATTTAATAAAAATATTTATGCATGGTGTGCTAAACCAGTGAGCATGTGTCCGTTGAACCTCTGTTAGACCTCTTACGGATGTCCAGACATCCATTAAATTTTTTCCTAACTTTGAGAATTGTTTAATGCTTTTGTTTGCACATATTTTTTTAGGTGTTTTTAAAAAATACTTACATTGATTTTTTTAAGGACTTTGTTGATTATATAGAAAATAAAGTCATGAAGCTGAATGATAAAGTGTAATGACAAAGAGTATTGATGAAGCTGAATGATTAAGTGTAATGACAAAGAGTATTGATGAAGCTGAATGATAAAGTGTAATGACAAAGAGTATTTATGAAGCTAATGATAAAGTGTAATGGCAAAGAGTATCAATGAAGCTGAATGATTAAGTGTAATGACAAAGAGTATTGATGAAGCTGAATGATTAAGTGTAATGACAAAGAGTATTGATGAAGCTGAATGATTAAGTGTAATGACAAAGAGTATTGATGAAGCTGAATGATTAAGTGTAATGACAAAGAGTATTTATTAAGCTAATGATAAAGTGTAATGGCTAATGATAAAGTGTAATGGCAAAGAGTATCGATAAAGGTAAATGATAAAGTGTAATGACAAAGAGTATTAATGAAGCTGAATGGTTAACCTTGTTTAATTTTTTGTTTCATAATAAATAGTTATAAAATACAAATTTAAAAAAGATGTCATAGCAAAAATAAAACCTGAATGCATTGTCTCATTGTTTTTTTTTTTATTTTCAAAAATAAAACCTGATGCAATGTCTCATTGTTTTTTGTTTTTTTTCAAAAATAAAACCTGAATGTATTCTCTCATTGTTTTTTTTTTATTTTCAAAAATAAAACCTGAATGCATTGTCTCATTGTTTTTTTTTTTATTTTCAAAAATAAAACCTGATGCAATGTCTCATTGTTTTTTGTTTTTTTTCAAAAATAAAACCTGAATGTATTCTCTCATTGTTTTTTTTTTATTTTCAAAAATAAAACCTGAATGCATTGTCTCATTGGTTTTTTTTATTTTCAAAAATAAAACCTGAATGCATTCTCTCATTGTTTTTTTTATTTTCAAAAATAAAACCTGAATGCATTGTCTCATTGGTTTTTTTTTATTTTCAAAAATAAAACCTGAATGCATTCTCTCATTGTTTTTTTTTATTTTCAAAAATAAAACCTGAATGCATTCTCTCATTGGTTTTTTTTATTTTCAAAAATAAAACCTGAATGCATTCTCTCATTGGTTTTTTTTATTTTCAAAAATAAAACCTGAATGCATTCTCTCATTGGTTTTTTTTATTTTCAAAAATAAAACCTGAATGCATTCTCTCATTGGTTTTTTTTATTTTCAAAAATAAAACCTGAATGCATTCTCTCATTGGTTTTTTTTATTTTCAAAAATAAAACCTGAATGCATTCTCTCATTGGTTTTTTTTATTTTCAAAAATAAAACCTGAATGCATTCTCTCATTGTTTTTTTTTATTTTCAAAAATAAAACCTGAATGCATTCTCTCATTGTTTTTTTTTTATTTTCAAAAATAAAACCTGAATGCATTGTCTCATTGGTTTTTTTTATTTTCAAAAATAAAACCTGAATGCATTCTCTCATTGGTTTTTTTTATTTTCAAAAATAAAACCTGAATGCATTCTCTCATTGGTTTTTTTATTTTCAAAAATAAAACCTGAATGCATTCTCTCATTGTTTTTTTTTTATTTTCAAAAATAAAACCTGAATGCATTGTCTCATTGGTTTTTTTTATTTTCAAAAATAAAACCTGAATGCATTCTCTCATTGTTTTTTTTTATTTTCAAAAATAAAACCTGAATGCATTCTCTCATTGTTTTTTTTATTTTCAAAAATAAAACCTGAATGCATTCTCTCATTGGTTTTTTTTATTTTCAAAAATAAAACCTGAATGCATTCTCTCATTGGTTTTTTTTATTTTCAAAAATAAAACCTGAATGCATTCTCTCATTGGTTTTTTTTATTTTCAAAAATAAAACCTGAATGCATTCTCTCATTGGTTTTTTTTATTTTCAAAAATAAAACCTGAATGCATTCTCTCATTGTTTTTTTTTATTTTCAAAAATAAAACCTGAATGCATTCTCTCATTGGTTTTTTTTATTTTCAAAAATAAAACCTGAATGCATTCTCTCATTGGTTTTTTTTATTTTCAAAAATAAAACCTGAATGCATTCTCTCATTGTTTTTTTTATTTTCAAAAATAAAACCTGAATGCATTGTCTCATTGTTTTTTTTTTATTTTCAAAAATAAAACCTGAATGCATTGTCTCATTGGTTTTTTTTATTTTCAAAAATAAAACCTGAATGCATTCTCTCATTGGTTTTTTTTATTTTCAAAAATAAAACCTGAATGCATTCTCTCATTGGTTTTTTTATTTTCAAAAATAAAACCTGAATGCATTCTCTCATTGTTTTTTTTTTATTTTCAAAAATAAAACCTGAATGCATTGTCTCATTGGTTTTTTTTATTTTCAAAAATAAAACCTGAATGCATTCTCTCATTGTTTTTTTTTATTTTCAAAAATAAAACCTGAATGCATTCTCTCATTGTTTTTTTTATTTTCAAAAATAAAACCTGAATGCATTCTCTCATTGTTTTTTTTTTATTTTCAAAAATAAAACCTGAATGCATTCTCTCATTGGTTTTTTTTATTTTCAAAAATAAAACCTGAATGCATTCTCTCATTGTTTTTTTTATTTTCAAAAATAAAACCTGAATGCATTCTCTCATTGTTTTTTTTTTTATTTTCAAAAATAAAACCTGAATGCATTCTCTCATTGGTTTTTTTTATTTTCAAAAATAAAACCTGAATGCATTGTCTCATTGGTTTTTTTTATTTTCAAAAATAAAACCTGAATGCATTGTCTCATTGGTTTTTTTTATTTTCAAAAATAAAACCTGAATGCATTCTCTCATTGTTTTTTTTTATTTTCAAAAATAAAACCTGAATGCATTCTCTCATTGGTTTTTTTATTTTCAAAAATAAAACCTGAATGCATTCTCTCATTGTTTTTTTTTTATTTTCAAAAATAAAACCTGAATGCATTCTCTCATTGGTTTTTTTATTTTCAAAAATAAAACCTGAATGCATTCTCTCATTGGTTTTTTTTATTTTCAAAAATAAAACCTGAATGCATTCTCTCATTGTTTTTTTTTTATTTTCAAAAATAAAACCTGAATGCATTCTCTCATTGTTTTTTTTTTATTTTCAAAAATAAAACCTGAATGCATTCTCTCATTGGTTTTTTTTTATTTTCAAAAATAAAACTTGAATGCATTCTCTCATTGGTTTTTTTATTTTCAAAAATAAAACCTGAATGCATTCTCTCATTGTTTTTTTATTTTCAAAAATAAAACTTGAATGGATTCTCTCATTGGTTTTTTTATTTTCAAAAATAAAACCTGAATGCATTCTCTCATTGGTTTTTTTTATTTTCAAAAATAAAATTTGAATGCATTCTCTCATTGGTTTTGACTGATTATCTGTTATTAGTATAAAATAAGTCATTTGCTTTTTTATGAATAGAAACATGAGTTTCAACTACCTAGATTAAAAAGATTGTTTTTTGTCTTATAGTTCCTACCAAAAATAATGGAATGAAAAAACCCTAATTGAAAGCAAATTAAAAACTTACATTTCACTCCGCAATTTGTTATGTGCATGCTATTGTTTCATTGCTTTTTTTTGGGTGTTTGCTGGAAACAGGCAAACAGATGTCAGTACCCAAGAGATAAATTTCAAGTTGATAAAATGTAAGATTCATCACTTTGCCTTCACTCTTGCTAATTATAATGATAAAAATTGTGAAATGAAATAAAAAGATGTTGGTATAATCAGTAAAATCTTCTAAAACTATAAAAACCAACACATTATATACCAATTAAAAGTTTTTTGTGTTTACTATTATCTTTTGGACAAATATTGATTATTTAATTATTTTAGTTTAATTCATTTAAAAGATAACAATTTTTAATAAGTTCAAAAATTTCGAACATACAGAACCATAAATAAATTGAAATATTTGCAAACTTATATCAATAAATTAGCAATTTTTTCCCCAAAATTTACTGATATTATAGGCAAAGACTTGTGTGGAAATAATTAAAAAGCTTCATTTATAAATGATTGAGGTCATGGAATATAAAAAATGTATAACATTTCCAGTAAAAAAAGTTGATAGCAAACTTAAATGAATGTATGTTTTGTAATACAGCACAGCTTTATGGAGCCAACAAGTCTGCTGATGGACAAATTATAAAGAGATATAAACTTACTGGATCCACAAATTATAAAGAGATATAAACTTACTGGACCCACAAAGATTCAAAAATAATCAGGAGAACCATGCAAAACAACATCAGGATAAAAGCTTGTTATACTAAACCAGGAAAAACCCCGTTTGACAGCTGCTGATTTAATGTATTTGTGTAATACTTCTACTACAAAACGTTGTTTGTGTCATGTAAATGTGTTTGGAAGGTGTCAAGTTAAAAAGGCATTAAATTTCCTTAAAGAACTGAAGCATCCAAGAAGAATTCAAATCACAGCATGTAAAGTGGAGTAGTTATTAACGCTCAAGATTTCTTTTTAGTGATAAAAACAAGTTTATGCAGTTCAGATCAGATAAGAATCAGGTTTAGTTGACGTCCATTAGATACAAGATCCTAATACCCAACTTCCTACCATAAAATACGAAGGAGGTAATGATTTTGAAATGTTTTAGTTAGGATGGTGTTGATCCACTCCATATATATACTAGAACCAACCCTCGGAATTAGGAAAAATAAAGTCGGTAATAATTTGCCGAACTCAATCTTTTTGAGATCGGCATCAGGTCGTCAAAAATTAATTGATACAAAGGTCTGACCATAAAACATAGAAATGAGGTCAGCAATTTTTTGCCGACCTCAAACACTTCGGCAAAAAATTAGTTGACGTCCAGTAGATACAAAATCAGGTCGACAGTTAGGTCGCCATTGCCAAATGTCAACCCTAATTCTGAGGGTTGACTAGAACTAATAATTAAGAAATTTAAAAGACACGTAAGTGCATAATGTATAGAGAAAACTCCTCATGGATATGATATCAAAATAACTATCCCAAATACACAAACAAATTAATTCAAGAATACTTCAAAAATAGTAAAGTTTGTGTTTTGTTTTTGTGGCTATCCCAATCTACTGATTTAGTTGAGATTAGATGCCATTAAAAATTTATGGGAACATGTCGGTTATTGAACTTATGTCCCATTTATGTTTGTATTAATTAGTTGACTTGTAGGTGCCTTGTAGGTGTGAAAATGTGATTTTGTATTTCTAATAAACTTTGATCAAATATCATTGAAAAATTTCTATATTTTTTATATATGAGGAATATGATCAATGTGAAAATGAATGTGTCATCAGGAAATTTGTTAATGCAAATATCTAAATTCAAAATGATGATATGGTTTATCAGATTAAATTCTGATTCCTAACAAAGACAATCGTCATTCTTTGCAAATTCTCTTTGATCACATGATAATATCAAAATAATTTTCTATTGGTAAAAAATAGAACTAAATGAATAAAATATAACAACTATTCAAATGAAAAAGTTCAACTAACAAAGTTTATATGGCACCATCAATTTCTAAAAAATAATGTGTTTACAGAAAAGTTATTTATTTTTAAGTAAAGTGTTAATAATGTTTTGTCTACAAATTGTGTTATTTTGTGTTAAATCATTTTATGATAAAATTTTTTTACCAGAACAATGTATTCAAAAAAACACTTTTCGATCTGGGCAAAATTTATAGTAGACAGAGCAAGACTTTTTTATATCAACAAAATGAAAACGTTAATCCTAAATTCTTCACATCAGATTTTTTAAAATAAAAGAGCATTGTAATTACAGATGTTAATGGCTGGGAAAGAACAAGCAAAGAAAATGAGCTTTTTGTATGTTCAATGTTCATTGGCTGATGTGTGCAAAGTTAAAAGTTATATGACAACAAGTTAGAATTTATTTTCTTCACCTTTTTTTCTTCTTTTTCTTCTTTGTCTCTCAAAGTACATATGACATAAATTGTGACTTTCTTTAACTTAAAAATTAATATTAATAACTTTTCCCATATCCTTCATACTTTAAATTTATTAATAAACAAGAGCTGGATAACCAATTTTTGTGAAGAGAATTATTTAACTGATGGTGTCAGTGATGCAACAGATGATCTGAGAAATGCGACTAACAAGAATGACGATTCAAACTCATATATTGTACTAATTGCAAAGGAGTTAGAAGCTGATTTGCGAATTGGTGAATAAGTTGTTGCTGTCTACAATATGCATTAGTGAAAAATCTGCAATAAATCAAGTTTTAGAAAATATGTTTTGGAAAGCCTGAAAGTTTTTAGTTTCAATCTCTTTGATTAAGAAGATTTGTGTTTTAGTTTCCAACCTCTCTAGTTATCAAGCTTTAGGTTTTCAGTGTCATTCTAAGTGAATGGGGAGTTTTTTAGTGTCATTCTAAGTGAATGGGGAGTTTTTCAGTGTCATTCTAAGTGAATGCGGAGTTTTTCAGTGTCATTCTAAATAAATGGGGAGTTTTTCAGTGTCATTTTAAGTGAATGGGGAGTTTTTTAGTGTCATTTTAAGTGAATGGGGAGTTTTTTAGTGTCGTTCTAAGTGAATGGGGAGTTTTTCAGTGTCATTCTAAGTGAGTGGGGAGTTTTTTAGTGTCGTTCTAAGTGAATGGGGAGTTTTTCAGTGTCATTCTAAGTGAATGTGGAGTTTTTCAGTGTCATTCTAAGTAAATGAGGAGTTTTTCAGTGTCATTCTAAGTGAATGGGGAGTTTTTTAGTGTCGTTCTAAGTGAATGGGGAGTTTTTCAGTGTCATTCTAAGTGAATGGGGAGTTTTTTAGTGTCGTTCTAAGTGAATGGGGAGTTTTTAAGTGTCATTCTAAGTGAATGGGGAGTTTTTAAGTGTCATTCTAAGTGAATGGGGAGTTTTTCAGTATCATTCTAAACGAATGGGGAGTTTTTCAGTGTCATTCTAAACGAATGGGGAGTTTTTCAGTGTCATCCTAAACGAATGGGGAGTTTTTCAGTGTCATTCTAAACGAATGGGGAGTTTTTCAGTGTCATTCTAAGTAAATGGGGAGTTAAACTAAAAAGTGTTAAGTTATTAATAACTTATCTATTAATAATAATCATAACAATAACTTAACTATTAATAAGTATTATAATATTAATAATTAAAATCATAACAATATATTGTTATGGTTTTATATAAATTATATAACTGAAAGTAATTAAAAGTTATATAAATAACAAAGACAACAATGGTGACAATTCCAATAACAAATCAAAAATATTTAATAAAAAATTTAATTTTGTCATTTATCATCAGAATTGATCATTATATTTCTGAATGTAGTTCAGTATTTTTGATAATCAATAACTAAATATACTAAATAATAATATTACTAAAAAGAATTACTAAGAAGGTGATGTGCTAAAAGTTGGAATACTAAATCAATAAACACACTTATCCTGGTATTAAACTCACATAATCTGGTTTTAAACACATTTATCCTGGTTTTAAACTCAATCAGTTAAAATCAAACATTTTTAAATACTTATTAGAATACAGCTATGCAATTACTTAGTATGTAAATACAGTTTTTTGTATATTCTTTTAAGATTCTGTAAAATAAAACTACAATAAAATTAAAATGTTTGTACATAAAAAAATATTATAAATGTAAACATAAATTTATACAATAATATATAAATAAATTAAAATATTATGCATAATAAGTTAAAAAATTTCATCAAAATATTTTACACATGGAGACAAAATATTTTCAATGCAATCTTTTTTGTACCTATTTTTTTTAGTAACTAATTGCAGTCATACCAAAACTTTTCTTTTTAATTTTGTGATTGAATTTGATGTTGGTTCAATATTTTTTTCCTAATGTTGTGATAATTATGAGATAAACATGGTCAAAATCAGTAGCCTGCTGGTGTCTTTTTTTTTTTTTTTTTTTTTTTTTTTTTTTTTTTTTTTTGCAATATATTAAAAATTTTGAAGCTTTTTCAAAGGATGTATAAGGTTTAATTCTGATTTAAGATTTAACTACAATATAAGTTAAAAGTAATTAAGTTACTATTGCAAATCATTCATTTATACAATTCAATTCATTCATTTACTTTTATTTTTAATTATTTATTCAATGTTTGGTTTAAAAACTAAAATAATACTTTAAAAAATAGAATGTGAAAAATGTGTATCTATTAAATTTAATAGATTGCATTAATAACTTTAAAATCAGCTTTAAAATTATTTGAAAAAATGTTTTCCTATGAAACTGAAAAAGAAAGCAAAATTGTGTATGATTTATTTCATACAAAAAAGTTAATACAAAAAATTATAGTATGATATGTTTCATGGTTGTCGGTAAAATGCGAACTAAAAACCAGTAAAATGCAAACTTTATTGCAAACCAAAACATTATATTTTAAAGACCATTATTGTTATGATAAAAATAATAATCAAAAAACTCTCCAATTCTTAATTATATATTTTAAAACTCTATTTAAAATCAAGTTTTTATTTTTTAACTGTAAAACATGCGCAGAGTGTTGCTACATCGACTATCTTATAGCCTGACTAGCAACGGAGTGCTGCTACATCGACTATCTTATAGCCTGACTCGCAACAGAGTGCTGCTAAATCGACTGAGGGTTTGATTTGGGCAGGCAGTCTGTCAAATAATTAAAAAATAAAAAATAATTTTTAATTGTTTTAAAAACGCCTGTAGTGAAAAAAGGTGTACTTCTTTTACCATAGCCACAAATAGCTTGTTGAAAAAACAAAAACAAAATGTTTTTCTCCAATAATTTTAAGAATCAATGTCTTATTTTTGAGTGATTGTTGGCTTGATTAATTATAAAAATGATGTCCAGGTAATGCTTTAACAAGTCCAGCGCAGTAAGTTTTGTATTCCATTACAGTGCATACTTTTTCTTTTGTTAACAATTTATAAAGCAGCTTTGAAAAATGAATTGTTTTCTTTTTTTTGATTTTCTTTGCGTCTGGAGATTTTTTTTTTTTTTTTATAGGATCTAACCTTGTGATTTAATTCATCCAACCATAATTTTATTTGTGTTGAAATTTTCAGCTAAGTTATTTATTGATAATTTTATAGATTTCTCTTGAGTACTTCATTTACTTTCGATACTAATTTTTTTGATACACATTATTTTTTTCAACTAATTTTCGTTTCATAGTTTTGTTATGATTGTACATTTTTATGTCATGTTGAACAGTTTTTAGTGGAATTCTAACTCAACAGACATTTTTTTACTCTATTCTTGGTTTTGCATAAAAAATGCAAGATGTTTTTTTTTATGCATTTCTTGTTTTGAGCACATTTTGATAAATTAAATCTAATTTATCCAATCAAGTGTAAAATCAAGTTTTGTTGCATAATATAATCTTTTGAAATAAAAGAACAAAAAACTAATCTTTAAAAATTATTAGTCAGCAGACATTTTAAAATTTTTTCTGAGGCATTTTATTAAAAGTTCTTTTTTTTTATTCAAAGTGTTGCACATACAACATGATATTTACATTACCACTTTTATCTAAAATTCTTTTTTAAATACTGTAAATAGTGTTGTGATTGACTATTTATAACCCTTTGGTTTACCATTTTCTATTAGAATTCTTATAAATCCAACAATTTTTGTTATAAATAAAATCATTTCTTTTTTACTGCTTTATTAAAGTCATCCTTAAAGGTCAACACTCTTCTTCATTTCCAGTAACTTCTGGGTATCTCAAGGTTTTATCCTTGGTCCTGTTTTGTTTCTTATCTTCCTGATAAAAGCAGCTATGATGAGACTTCATACATATTTGCCAAGTTTTAACCAAATAATTATAATAAAAAGAGGTGCTAAAAGGTACAGTTTTTGAAATGCCTGTAAAAAATTTCACAAAAAAACAGCAAGTAAAAACCGAGTTGTATTATATTTTAGTAATAAAACCAATCAGTCATTTTCATATTTATCACATAGTTGTTAGGGATGGCTCACCATTGAAAAAAATTTAGTTTGTTAACTGATCTTTGCAGCTTACTACAAGGTAAAGGTTTCGAAAATGTTCCTAAATATACAAATACATACAAAAAATTGTTATGGAATATAGAGAAAATATAAAAAAGAAATGACTAATGAATTGCAAATTTTAAAAGTACAAGGTATGAAGTTGGGCAAGTGGACATCATTGAGGAATTGGCAGTATATCTTAATGTTTATGCAAATGGTAAGTTTTATAATCTTGGCCTTACTTGAGTACACAAAAAAATGGCTGCAGATGTTTTGAAATTTTGAAGTCTAAATTGTTTAACATTAATTTAAAAAACTTTCACAGATTCAACATCAGTTATGTATAGCACATGACATTCAACTAGCCATATTTAAACTTTTATACACAAAAAAAAACAAAAAAACAATTCTACTAGACAGCAAAAAAATGATAATGACCCAATAACAAACATAAATAAAGTTTATTTCAATTCTTATGAATTTTAAACGCTTGAAACTATTATTCCATACCTTTCTGAAAATCTTTTAAAAGGTTATTTTTTAAGTTACTTTAAATAATGAATAAGTTAAATTAAATCTTCATAACTTAATTGCTTTACTTTTTTTATTTCTATTTTTACAAAGAATTGTTCGAAAGTTTGTTTTTTTTAAACTTGAATCACTAATTAAAGCATGAAATGATTAAAAATTATTTTAAAAAAAACTACTTTTTAAACTTTTATTATTTTTTTAAACAGTTTTTTGTGTGCAACTTTTTGAGAAAAATGTTTATACAACTTAAAAATATTATATTTTCTTCTTTTCAAAAATTAAATTCACTTTTCAATAATTTAAATAAAATTTGTTCATTTATTAAACAATCAATAGAAGTAATTTGTAAAAGCGTTTTGTGTAACTTTAAACGTTTCAAAGATAAGTTTTAAAGTAATTTTTTTCAAATGCACTTAAAAACATAACAAATTTCACTTCTAGTTTTTTAGATTTTTTTTCAAATTTATTTTCTTTTTTGTAAACAATGTCATTAAACATTAAATTGAGCCCTGTTACTGTAATTGATCAAGAAATGGATAAAAATAACATTATTGAAAATGGCTGTTGTGCTATTATGACATTATCACAAGAAACAATCTTATCATTGAAAGACAAATTATTATAAATAAAAAATTAGCAAAAATTTCTTAAACTTTAAATACTTCCAAAAAATGCTTCCGATTGCCTTACAAGCAAGAATAAAAAAAAAAAGAATTATAATGGTTTAATGACCAACATTCTAGAGAAAAGCATTTTGAACAAATTTATCAAGGATAAAATTAACAAGTGTTGAATCAAAAAGGTTTTTTTCCACAGCTGGCATAACTAATACCAAAATAAAGTTTATATAATAAATCACTAAATACTTTATGTTTTTTATGCTTTGTTAAATAGATAAAACAATTTTTTATTTTTTTGTTTTTGTTTTAAATACCAGTATAATGCCAGTACTGGTAATACTGGTACTATATTGAAAAGTAGTTGTGGTATTTCCAGTATTAGTGCTTTCATACATTGTATTTATTTATAATTGCATCTACTTTTAACTTGCAACTATTTTAGTATTGCATAACAGATGTATTTCTATATGATGTTGTTTATATTTTGTTGGTATGGTTGCTTTTATTTCTAGATAAATGGAGAATCGCTGTCTTTACGATGCAGTACACAAGTAGAAACAAATGATTGGTTTAAAATATTGAAACTGGCACAGTGCATTGATGAAGAGGAAAAAAAAAAGGTGTAATATTTTTGTACGAACCACTAAGTATATACCTAAATACTAAGTACTTAGTATTTAGATATATATATCTTTTTATTTTATATATTTTTAACAAATATTAAATACTATTTTGTTTCAGGATATTGTTATCATAGATATTGGTTCATTGGTTATTAAAGGAGGTCAAATAGGTTAGTAAAAATAAATTTAAAAAGATTCAAATAACCATACATACAAAATATATTACCCGCTTTAAGCACTTAATCACATAAACTACATGCACTTAATCATATGAACAACATGCACTTAACCTTTAAGTACACAACATGCACTTAATCACCTAAACAACATGGACTTAATTACATGAACAAAATGCACATAATCATGTAAACAATATGAAGTTAATAACATAAACAACGTGTATTTAATTACATGAGCAATGTGCACTTAATCGCATAAACAACATACACTACTTACATTTTTGTGTACAATATAGTATACTTAACAATACAGTATACTTAACTTTCAATACGGTATACTTAACTTTACAATACGGTATTCTTAATGATAAAAATTATGTTAAAAAATAATTTTTATTACCTAATGACTACAGTAAATTTTTTTACTTTAAGTAAAAAAAATTACTGTAGTCATTAGGTAATAAGAATTATTTTTTAACATAATTTTTATCATAGAATTATTATTGCACTATCTAATCATAGGTAGTAGTCATATTTGATATTCAATACACATTACTTAGTTATTACAAGCTATTCAATTGAATTTACCAATTTTGCTCAGAAACAAATCATCATGTTAGTTAACTTTTTCCTTGAGTATTGACAGAATGCTGAATTTCATTTTAAGCAAAATATATATATTAATGTAATCGCTCTCATATAGTCAATAAACATTGATAAGAAAGCCCTTTGTTTATGCAAACAACAAGACTTTGAAGCAATCCTGATTGCTTAAATGAAAATAAGCAATACATATTTACATAATTTTAAATATGCTATATTTGAACTTATGTAAACTTACAATTACCTTACGCAAAATGCGACAGTAAATATTACCACAGCATGCTACATATAAGTTTATGTACAAAATATGCTAAACTTTATGTTAATTAGAGAATAAATAGATAATTGTGTATATAACATGTACACAATATTCTCTAACTTTATTTACGCAACTTAATGCTCTAGACATTGTTAACTTTCTGGGATTAATCTGAAGTATAGAATCTAACAAATCTAATTAAATCTAATAATATCTAACGTTATTTATTTGTGTAAAACATTTTACACAAAATATTTTATCTAGTCATAATATTAAACTGTATTAATTTTTAGATTCTCCTGAAATTTGTTTTCCAGCAGTTGTTGCTTTGAAAGATTTAAAGTAAGAATTTAAGTAAGATTTTTAAATGATCTATTAGTTTCTTTTCGTTATTTTTATATATTTATAATATATTTTTTGTAAAATATTTTTCCTATATTATTATTATCTTACTGTGTTACATATTTTATATACAAACACATATATAAAGATGAATATATATATATATATATATATATATATATATATATATATATATATATATATATATATATATATATATATATATATATATATATATATATATGTATGTATATGTATATATATATAATTTATATATATATAATTTATATATATATATATTCAATAATTTCTTACTTTGTGTTATATTATCTTTTATTGTTATGTCTATATACATAATTTCTACTGTCTTTATTATTATTTAAATTTTGTTTAATGTTTATTATTAGAGGAAAGTATGATGATTTATCATATGTTTTACAACCTGAAAACTGCATTATTGGATTAGAAGCATTTCTTCCTAATAACAGAGCTAATTCTAAATTGATTTATCCATTAAAGTCAGATTTAACTATTGACCAGGTCAGGGCTAATTTTTTTTTTTTTTTTTTTTTTAAAGCAATGTCTTTAGATATATTTTCTATATTATTTAAAATTAAAACTAGATGATCTTTTTATTTAGTATCTAGTAACTAGTATTTAATAATTCAGTATTTTTGTTTGTAAAACCTGTTACTTGTCTGGAGATCAAGAATTGCTTGAGTTGACATGGAGATTCTAATTTTAGAATTGCTTATTTAATGTTTTGAAATACTGGAACATATTTTGCATATTTTTAATTATTTTTAATTTGTTTAAATAAACCTAAAGAGAGAGGTTATCATTTTTTTATCTGGAAACTTAAGACTACATCAAATCCCTTATGCTGCAAATTAAAATTTTTTTGATGTTGAAGCCTCTAAAGCCAAATCATATGACCTCATTATTGTAGGTTCTAATTAATGTATAATTAAAAAAAAAAAATTTTTGAAACATGGTTGCAACAATTTAATGAGAAAATTCATTTTGATGATGAATTGAGAAAAAAAACTGAACTTTCAATGAATACTAAAAGATTGTACTGAGAGAATTTTAAATTAGCCAGAGGAAAGCCAGAGTCCAAATAAATGCTGTCAACCCTTAAGGCAAGATCTATGTTGTTCAAAAGTTTTGCCAATGATAATTGGAATTTCATTGATTGAATTATATTGTTATGTTTGGTTCTTTATAAAAATGTTTTCACATAAATTTAAGTGGATAAACAAATGGCTAAACACTTCTGCTTACCAATATAAATATTTTTATTGTTTATTAGTGAAAATATTTTTTTTTTTTTTTTTTAATTTTTATTATTGTTTATTATTAAAATATTTTACTTGTTGATGTTAATATTTTTTTTTGCTTGTTTGTATATATAACCTCTTTGTTTATTAGTATTAATGTTTTCTCTTTTTAATAGTATAAATATTTTTTGTTTTAGTATAAGTATTTCTTTTGGTTGTTTGTATAAAAATGTTCTTTGTGTATCAATGTAATTATGTTATTTGAATATTTTATTTGATATATATTTATGTTATTTGAATATTTTATATTTTTCAATACGTTGTTTTTTTTTTCTAGTTTTCAATTAAAGTACGCTTCATTCCATTGATAATTGAAAAAGTGTTTCAGCTACTGCAAACTAATCCAAGAAATAAAACAGTAATTATTAAACAGTAATTAATAAAAACAATTATTAGAAAATTAGAAGTTTATTAGAAACAGATATTAGAAAAATGCATTTTAAACAAGCTTATTGAAATTTAGTAATTTTTTGTTTAGATTATAATAGTCTGTCCAAGGTACTTGACTGTTTCTGACAAAGAGTATATTGTGGAGTTTTTGTTTTCACAACTTGAAGTTGGATCTGTATGCATGCAAGAGCAAGCTCTTTTATCATTGTACTCATATTCAGCTACAACTGGAATTATTGGTGACTTTTTTAATTTTAGTTAATAATTAAAATTCTTTGAGAAACATTTTTATTTTTACTATTGTCATTGTTGTTTAGTTGATATAGGTGATCATCTAGATATACTACCTGTTGTAGAAGGTATTTTTTTAATTTTTTTTTGAATAGGTAATATTCTTAGAAAATATGCATTCTATTGTTCTAAGAATCACTTGTTGCTCATTTCAAATTCTTTTTGATTTTTTGTATTATATGTTTTTAAATTTTTACAATTATAATTAAAATTTATATAAAATATCAAATATTTAAAAAAAATTTTGGCGTTTTTTTGCCACCTGTATTTATATTTATGAGCCAGTATTTATAATTTTTGAATCTTTAGCTTCTTATATCTCATTGGCTCGTTATATCTCATTCAACTTATTAAAGTTGTTAAAATCAAAAGAATCTATAATCACCTGTTTGACCAACCAAAACTCCATTTCGCATGATTTGTCAGTAACTTTTTACTTTAACTGTTCCTTCATGCTTAAAAAATGTTTTTTTCATCTAGTTTTTTCCTTAAACATTGGTGATTCATACCTTATTCACATCAAAAATAAAACAACTTTTAACAGTAGTATTTTAAACACATTTTATATATTTTCATTCACATCAAATTTAGAACTGGTTTTAATTCCATGCAGAAAGCGCAAAAGGTATTTAAATAAAACAACATTGCAATGTTGTTTTAGTAAGACATGATTAAGACACAGTTTATTGAAGTGCAGATTTGATGTGAATAAGGTATTTCTCATTTGTCTTTATGTTTTCTTGACTCATTAAGTTTACATTTTTACAAGATAATAGAAAGGTATGAGGTCGGAAAAGAAAGAATAGGAATAGAAAGGTATAAAAGGCACATTTCTATATTTTTAATGTTACAAAACATAACAAAACAGTAAATAAACATAAAATAAAATTTTTGCTTAATTTCAATTAGGTTTTCTTTTATCAAAATAAATTTTAAATAAAAGATCTGTTCCATTAATTCTGCTTTTTGTTGTTCTCCAAGAAAGAAAATTTTAAAGAATTGTTTTGAAATGACTCTTTTGAAATGTTTTTCATTTTTTAATTTAATATTTTATTAGTAAAATGAATATGTAGATATTTAAAATACAAAAAAATTTAATGTATCCATTAAAAAAAAATTTCAAAGTCAAAGATGACAATATACATTTTTTTGTTTTGTTTTGTTTAATATATATATATATATATATATATATATATATATATATATATATATATATATATATATATATATATATATATATATATATATATATATATATCTGTGTGTGTGTATATATTGTTTTATTCCTAAAATTTAAAGAAATAATGAAATATTTTTGTCAGTAATTTTAACTTGTTGTTTTAATCAAATATTTTAATCAATTTTAAGGACATTTTATCTCTTTCTAATTTTGTCGGTACATGTAAATCAAAATATTGTTTACAAGAGTGTAAATATTTTTTTGTTGGTTTATATTTCAGGTACTATCATTCAGAAAGGTGTCACAAGTTTGTCTTCTATTGGACAACAAATAACAGCAAGTTTAAAGAAACTTTTATCAGGAGAAGGTTACAGGTGATAAAATTTAAAAAGTATAATGGAGGTAAAAACAAGATTTAAAAAATAAGTTTGTATATATTTTTTTTAGGTTTTGTTCTGATATAGAAAATTATGTTGTACAATACATCAAAGAGCAAGTATAATTTTTTCATCAAAATATTTAATTTTTTTTTTTTTAATTTTATATAAAAGTTTTTAAATTCCAATTTTTTTGTTTTTTTTGTTTTAGATTGCAGAAGTGCTTTTAATACCAAATGATAAAATTGATACAGTGCTAGTAGATATTTCCAAATTTAACCTTCCATACAACTTCAAGTAAGTAGTATAAACATTTTTATCATTACATGACAAAGTTAAAAACTTTTTCAGCCATTTTTCAGACAAGATTTAAAACTTTTATAAGCCATCTTTAGACAAGATTAAAAATTTCTTCAACAACCTTTCAGACAAGGTTAAACTTTTTCAGCCATCTTTCAGGCAAAAAAACTCTTCATCCAAATACTAGTTATAACTACTCAGCAAAATGAAACATAGTTCATAAATAATGTTTTAATTCATTTTAAATTTTAAATCTTTCTCTTCACTCGAGTTGCTTTACTAAAACAACTCTATGAAATGATTACTTTTCAACTTATCCTAATTTTCCAAAAATCGATCTGTTCTATATAAATAAGAATATGCAAAAGAAAGTTAAGCCATTCCAATTAACATATATGCCATATCTTTTTGTTGAATATTTTTTCTTATTAATGAAAACAAGTTTTTTATGTTTTTTTTGTTAACTATTATTTAAAAACTTTGGCATATAAAATTTGCCGAATGGTCACACACGAGCAGTGAATGCCTGAGGGAAGAAATGAAGTACATTAAAATAAAGGAGAATTATTTATTAGACAAAGCATATTTTGACAGCTGTCAAGACAAAAATAAAGATTAATAGAGGAATATTTAAAAATAAATAAGACAAGCTATACAACCAAAACAGTACTCAACCATAATAACAATAAAAAAATTAAAAAAATAAAAACAAATAATAATATATATATATATATATATATATATATATATATATATATATATAAATAAAATAAAAAAATAAAAAAAAATTGTTTTATAAATACCAATATGAACTAAAATATACAAGAAATACATAACCAGTCAAAAATTTGTAAAACAAAAAACAATTCAACAAATTAAAAATATGCTAACAACAATGAAAGGACTAATAATGGAAAAAAAAACATTAATGCTAATGTGTAAACATAATTAGTGTAGTGATAAGTAATAAACATCTCCTCAGATGAAAACAAGTTTTATGTTATTTTTGTTAACTACAAAAGACAACTAGAGATTTTTCTAAAATTACAATGAATGTTTTAGGTACCATTTTTTAAAAAGTTTTTGTATTTTTATATGCAATTTATATTGAAGATCATTTTGTCTGTAGAACATTAAAAGTGGAAGAATCGCGATTCGAATGTGTTGAAGGTTTGTTCCAGCCATCATTGTGGGGAAAAGACATTCCATCTTTACAAGTGTGTCTTGAAAAAGCTATAAAAGCATGTGAAATTGATGATAGAAAAGAAATTTCTAAAAATATATTTTTATCAGGAGGATCTTCACTTATTAAAGGTTGAAATTTATTTTTATTTTTTTATTTTTTGCATGATGTATAGAATATATAATGCAATTCATTAAATCTCATGTTGGGCACATTATCATGATGTATGGAATATGTAATTCATGTTAGTACATCATAAAGCACACAAACTATAAGTATTAACTTTTAATTATGAAAATATTAGTAAACTTTAAGTTTACTAATATTTTCATAATAAAAAGTTTTGCATTTGATTGAACTGATCTTAACCTGATTTATTGTTTATATAGTATTGAGATGGCTAAAAAGTAATAAGAAGATGAAAAAACTTGATGTAAAATCCTCACTATATATATGTAGGTGTTTTGGGTGTGGATGGGTATGGGTAGGTGGATTTTGTTGGAGAGCAATGTTCTATAAAATTGTTTGATTTTTTTTTTTTGTGCCATTTTCATTAAGAAAAGTTATGCTCATTAAATGTTGTGTGACATTGAACTAAATTTGTTAGTTAAATTAATTCTTACTTGGTTAGCACTTAAAAAAATTAAAACTTTTGTGATCTTGTTGATAATTTTATTTTATTGCTTCAGATATAAAGCAATAAAATAAAACTAACCATTGGGTCAGAAAGTTGGAAATGGAAGAAGACTTTTAATACATAAAACCTTATCAAATTAAGGAAAATTTTTAACCATATAAGATGTGTGTCACTTTCAAAGGCTGTTAGAAGGCTTGGGTATAGCAAAAATATCATTGGACAAATCTTAAAATGCTTTAAAAGCCTATTCTTTGTTATAAAAAAAAACTCCTGAATAGAGGCTTTAAAGTCACCAAAAATGTGGAAAACTTTATTCAAAATAGTGTGACCGTGATCACACTATTTTAAATAAAGTTGACTACATTTTTCATCAATAGTATGATTGGATAGCACATGGCTGGTAATAATACATACTTTTCAAATGACTAATATTTGACACCAGACATTGTTAAATATTATGGCATTGCAAAATATGGATGGAAAAAAATTACTTGTATGGATCTCCCATCCATACAAAAAAAATTTTAAATTAGTGTAAACTGATGTGACCAGGGGTCACATCATAGTATATTTACATTATTTCTTCAGCCAAGCAATAAACCAAAAGCTTTATTTAATAGAGTTTATATGAAAATGCTTGCAACCTTTTATTAATAAATATTATTAAGACACCAAGTATGTTTTTTTGCCCAATTCAGCAATATCTTTTTTTGCTAATTCGTAAACAAATTGGCTGAAAACCCAGAAGGCACTATTTGTTCAAAATAAAGACAATCCAGAAAACTTGCCAGAAGCTGATGCTATAGAGTATTTTTGGGCAATGTTTAAATGGGATGTGTACAAGAATGAGTGGTCTACAAACAATATATCAAGCCTTGATGTCGAATTCATTTTTGTGTCAGTAGGCTTGGCCTAAATGCTGTACAAAGTAGGCTTGCACGTTATTGTGTCAGTAGGCTCGGCCTAAATGCTGGTACATATATTTTATTCTATTTAAATACCAAAAATCTTTTTTTTTTATCATGTTTATTTATGTTTTTATTGAAGTTCAAAATGAAGTGCAAAAGTATGAAGTCCAAATTTTATGGTGCAGGTGTTTGGTAGGTAAGGTACAGTCGGTATTTGATTGGTTGCAACCAATCAAATGCTGACTGCTCCAGTTGCTGCAAAGTATGTTTACATTAAAGATTAAAAAAAAAATCAGATGGCTACTTTTAATAGTGCAGAACTTACTCATTTACTTAGCAAATTTTCTCATATTCTGCAAAGGATAATTTACATAAGCAAATTTTGTAATATAAATTTTGCAACATCTGTAAAGCACTTTTACTTTTTTCACTCTAAACGCAAAATATATTTTCTAACATTTTCAGCTGATATACCTCATAATATGTTTATACTTCATAATTCATAATTGTCCCAGTGTCCCTATCAAAAAACCATTTGTCCCGGTCAATTTAAAGTTATTAATATTTAAAAAAATTTCTACAATATTGAACATAAGTAGAAAAATATTGATTTTGTTGTGCCGACTTTTAAAATAAGAAACATTTTTTGTTACATTAGTGTTTACTTAATAAAATTTTTCTAAAAAAATAAATTTTGTATCGCATTGCATTGACTTCCTAATTCAGTAATTTTTATATAAAAAACATGCCTAAAATTCTGATTAACTCATGTTATCGTATTGACATTAGTTTCTAGATTGTTTTTGTTTTTTAATTACTTGTTTTAATTTGAGTACTTCAACAAACATACCAAAAAGAAAGTGTCACTTTTCTAAAGATTTGACAAAAAAAGTGGCCCTGTATTAAAAAAGGAAAAAAATTAATTTTGTTCCCTTTGCAATTGTGCATTTTGTTCCATTTGCAATATTTTTATATTGGTGAGTCATGATGGAATATTAAGCATAGGCGATCACATTAAATCAGGTAATCACAGTTCCAGATTAATGTCTGGATCTTCATCAAGGAATATATATTTTCTTTTCTGATGATACAAAGTTCTCCATAAGATATTTTATTATGTACTGCGGAATCAACAACTGTATATAAAATTGTCAAACACCATCAGACTTTCAGTTCATTTCTGTACAGCTAAACTTAATTCCATCATGTTTCCAGATTCCAAAATTGCAAGCAATCTACTGTAAAAACAAAAGCAGCAGCTCTTGTTAAAAATCTATCAGCGCCTCATTCCGTAGAGATAATTAAACAAGAATTACAAAGTTTCTTTTTCATGGAATTTGTACATATTCGAGTAATCATAAATACATAAAAAAGTTAAACTTTGTATAGATATATTGATATTCCATCAAAAAGCTTTGTAGTATTTAGATATTACTAATTTTGGTAGGAGAGAAAGGCACAGAATAAATAAAATAGTTTACAAATTAAAAAAATACATTGTCTGCAAATATAGGAGTCGGTTGCTCTGCACACATTATTCATAATACAGATTCTCCTGTTGCCAATGTTTTGTGAATAAGAGATTTGTAGAGGTAGAGAATGGAATCAGGAGTAAGAAAATGGTGAGCACAATAAAGAGAAGCAACCTTAGCAGATGCTAATTTAGCAATCAATTTTATATGTGGTTTCCATGAAAGGTCAGTAATAAGCGATAAACTAATAAGACGTAAAGAAAAAGACTTAGTGAGAGGGTTGTTGTTCATTAATATAGGAATATCGACAGTAATGCATTAGTTATTTGCAGTTAATACCTGAGTTTTGTTGGAGTTAAAAGTTACAAGTCATTGCAAGCCCCAATCTGTTACAGAAGTGAGGTCAGATTCAAGATTAGCTGCCTGCTATAAGCGATCAAAAAGAGAAGACTTTTTGTCAAGACAGGAGTATAAAGTTGAGTCTTCATCAAAAAGAGCTACTTTAAATGTAAGGTTGTCAGGAAGATCATAATGTAGATGAGAAACAAAACAGGACCAAGGATAGACAAGAAGTTACTGGAAATGAAGAAGAGTATTGACCTTAATGGATAACTTTAATAAAGCAGTTAAAAAGAAACAATTTAATAATCTCAAAAACTTTCCCAGATACACCTTATGAAGCAAACTTATGGAGAAGACCAGCATGCCAAACTTTGTTGAAAGTTTTAGACCTATGTTAGACCTAATCTTGTTAAAGACCTTTGTTAGCAACGCTGTTGAAGATTTTTCAAAAGTCTCTTGAGCCTAACTTCTGAGATACGAGATTTAGTGAACTGAAAATAATGGAGCTCAAATATTCTTGTGCAGCTGCTATAACATGATATAGCAGCTGCACAAGAAGGTGAAAACCATTGAGTAGAATGAGGCTTGATTTGGAACCAACAAGAAGGAATAAAAGCTTCCATACCTGCCTGAATCCAGGAGGTTACATAGAAGGCATATTTTTCAGCTGAGAGAGAATAGACATCAGCCCAAGAATCATCACAAAGAAAATCACAAAAAGAGTCCCAGTCAGCTTTAGGGTATTAGTAATTAGTATGATGATAGGGGGAGTCCGAAAAAGAAGTACAAGATTTATAAAGATCATTGCATAGTTAGAACCACCTAAGGGAGAAAAAGGGAAACTGAACACAAACTAAGGTCAGAGGAAAGACATAAATCAAGGAGTGAAGGTAAATGTCAGGAAACTGAACACAAGTTAAGGTCAGAGGAAAGACAAATCAAAGAGTGAAGGTAAATGTCAGGGTTGTCAGGAAAATTAGTCACAAAGTTAACTATTTGAGTAAGAGGTTGAGAAATGTAGAAGTTATAGGCTTTAGTGCCTGCAGGGTTAGTGGCTTTAGAGCCAAGCCATTCAGTGTGATAAGCATTTAAGTCAACAATAACAACAATATTAACAGAGGGTTTAAAAAGAAAGGTCATGATCAATTTAATCAGAAATTATATCTAAAATAGTGAAGTCTTGGGAAGAAGGAGAATGGTAAAGAACGAATAGAAAGGTAATAGAGTGAAGAGGTGCTAAGCAGAAGCACATAAAATAATGTTCAAAAGATTCAAACCTGATTTCACAATAAATAGATTAATTGATGCGTATTTATAAGTCACGCATGTGACTATTGGAGTCTTTGTGAATCAAAGGATAGTACCATTAACACTGAGATTTTTGGAAGTAATAGGGGGATCTAAATTATTCTAACTAAGAGCAAGTAAGTCTGGTGAATTTTGCAAGAGGTAAGATTCAACTGATGGAAGGTTGCTTCGCAGACCATAATTTTTGTAAAAGATATGTAAAAACAGTTAGGTGGTGGGTTAGTTTTTTAATATTTAATATTTTAGGTTACTTTTGGCGGGGGTGTCTTAAGCATGGGGTAAGTAGGAAAAATTATCAAAAGTTAATAAATGAACTAAGAATATAGAATTTTAAATTGCATTCACCTTTTTTTTCATTGATATTCATAAAATCAAAACGCAATCATAGATCAGTTTCTTAATAATTTAATCGATTAAAAGGAGGATTTTGAATAAATACTTAAGGATTACATTCTTACAGAAAATATTTTCATGGTTGAAGTTTCGTTAACGTATGGCTGTCAGCAAAGACATCAAGATGGCGCACTGTTTTTAATAATCATTTACTTCATGTGCTATTTGACCTTGTATTACCGAAAAAACAACAGAGATAGCGTTTATATTAGTTGTGATATATGAGTATTCAAAATTGTTTGTGATATTCCAAAAATACTGTATTTTAATAATAACATTGATAATCAGAAGCGGATTTTTTTAGTGTTTGAGATAGATAACTCCAGGCATGGAGCAAACTCCAAACATTTATATTTATATTTATGTCAAATAAAGATGCTTTGAAAAAATTGCGATTGAAAACAAAAAATTGCCTGAGAACAAAAAAGCCCCGAAATTTTGGAAACCTTTCCTCTCCCTGCCTAAAATGTAAGAGCAACAAGTTGGTAAATTTTTTTTTTCTATTCCTAACTAAATTTATATTCATCAATAAATTTCAAGTTTCATAGTATAATTTTTCAGCATTCAAAAAATATAATTATATAAAATTTGTAACACCCTTTTAATAAAGTTGAGGTAAGATACGAGATTTAGTTAACTAAGAATAATGGTGTTCAAATATTCTTGTGCCGCTGCTATAACATGATATTTATTAAAATCTTTATTAAAATCTCGTATCTTATCTCAACTTTATTAAAAACTTTAAGTTTTACATTAGCAAACGTTTTATGATGATGTATTACGTAACTATATGTTCCGTAATCTTTAAGTTTGCATAATTAACAAAAAATTTTCTCAGCTTTTATTCTATTTTTAAAAAATGTTTTAGGTTTAGGAGAAAGATTAGAAAAAGAACTACAATCTTTAATACTATCTTATGTGCACGTAAAGGTTGTATTTTTTATTTTTATTCTTTAAATAAAATTTTATTGTATTCATGATTTAATTTGTATTCATTTTTAGGAGTCGATAAACACTTATCAATGTTAATTTATTTTTAGGAGTCTACTAACACTCATCAAATTTTTATTCATTTTTAGGAGTCGGCAAACACTCATCGAATTAATGCTGCATACAAAGGTGCTTCTGTTTTATCAACTTTGCCAAACTTCCAAAATTTGTGTATCACGAGAAACGAGTGGATTTCAGAAGATATTTCAACTTTAATGAAAAGATGGTAACAACTGACCTATTTCAAATTATGAAATTAACAACTAATTACTATTTAAAATTTTGATGGTAATAGCTGGTTAACTATTGGAAATATTGTATTATGTAATATTTATAAATTTTTTTATTTTTATAATATTTTTTTAAAATTTTTATATTTTTAATCTTATGCTTGTATATTTGTTTTTATATTATTTTAGCATTTTATAGAATTTATTAACGTGCAAAATTTGAAATTAATTTAAAAGTTTTAAAATTATGTTTTTACCGTCAATTATAAACAAATTATTTTCAAGGTGTAATGATTTAATAGATTAAAGAAAGAAAAAAAAGGAGGTAGTAAAACTATTACCAAGTTAGATTAGGGTGTCCCCCCAAAAAAAAGAAAATAATCTGTTTAGCTTTTCTTAATCTTTAAAGTTTTAATAGACTGAAAATACCAAAAACAAACATTGTTTTCTCGTAAATTCCATTAATTTGATGATATTGATTCTGTCAATATCATCTTCAGGTCGGTTTAACCGTTCTGTTAAAAACCAACCATGAAAATGACAAGATGAGCTCCAGGTTTTTGGTAAAGGTCCCTTATTTTAAAAAAATGGTAGCTTATGACAAAATGGTAACTAATTCAAGTCAACTTGTCCACCTTAATGGATTTTAGGAACCAAGACCCATAATATATAGAAATAAAGAATGTTGTTATCTTTACCATATTTTCTTTCTCGTAAATCACCTGGGCTCATACCAAAGGGTGAGCAGATATAGAGCATTTGCCGTGAACCTTAAGAATAAATTATTGTTATTAAATATACAAGAAAAATTTGAATAAAAAGCACTTTCCCTAAAAATAAAAATTATTGATAATTTACTGCAACTGACTTCATAGCAGGCTTTAGTGGATCATTATGTGGAACTTAAAAAGTTGACTATATTACCTATCTAAAAAAAACGTTGGTTTTTTAATTGGCAAAAAAGCTTAAAATTGAGTTAGCTCAATTAAATATTTTGGACTCGATATCAGTAGGCCACTTAAAAAACTTTATGTTTAAGTAATCATTATCAAATTTCGAAAATTCCACATAGAGTTATTTATAAAGAGTCATTTCTGCATTGTTTTTATTTAGAGATTTTTAGTGGAAGTTATAACATTTATAAGTATTACTGACTGTATATTATTTAACCACTTATGACAATTATATTATTACATAGAAGTACTCGATGATAAAGCTCGCTAACCTTCTACGAGTGTCTTTTACCACAACATTTTTATATTTAAAAATAATAATTTTTTTAAAGAAACATTGACAGTTTTCATGATAAGAAAAACATTAAATTACGCTATATTATGTTAAAATGTTAAATTACGTACTACTATATTGTTATCTATTTTATATATTGCATTTTATTACGTCATGGTATTGTAACGTAGTTAAACGTAAATATAAAGAAGTTGTATTGAAAAAAAAGAAAGAAAATCAAAAACAGCATTTTTTTTTTTTCCAACCTATTTCTAAAAACGTTGAAAATTAAAAGGATTCTTAACATGCAAAGGTATCTTTTAAGCGCCACTTTTTACCATCGACTTGGTTTGCTGTTGTTGTTGCTGCTACAACTTTGTTGTTGTTGTTATTTAAGTCGCTGTTTTTATTTGATTTGTTTGCATCAAAGTTTTCCTCGTTTCTTAGCTATTGTGCTTTCAGCATTTTTCAATCTTACAAGTATTTCGCGTTTATTGAGACATTCTCCAAACCTTGGCTGGTCAAAAATTTTTCGTTTGTTTTTTTTTTTTTTTGTTTGTTTTTTTGTCTTATTTTCATAATGTTGGACTTGAAACATTTGTTGCACGGCTGCAAGACCGGTTTTAATTATTTTTTAACCCTTCTTTTTGAATTTCCTTTTAAACAGCTGGAGTAATAACAATGTTGAACGTTGTTACAAGACGGAGTTGACTCCCAAGCTGATTCTATACGGCATAAGCTGCTACAGGTGTTACCGGTGAAGGTTCAGAAAATAATAGTTAAGACTAATGCTGGTGGTTTTACTAGCATAATTTTAGGCGGTTTAGATGCCGAAAACTTAGGTCGAGATGATGGGTGCTTCAAACGTATTAGCAATTTGCAATTTCAACTGATCAATTTTTTCGATATCGATCTGAAACAAATTCATCTGAGCACAACGAAATATTGTAAATTTAATGCAAAAAAAGTGTGCTACTTGCAAAAAAGCTAGGGGGATGTTTTAAATACTAGCTTAGGGGCCATCCATAAATGATGTCAGTAAATATAAGAGGGGAGGGGTACTAAAAATTTTGACAATAATTGACAATGGGGAGGGAGAGGGGTTGAGACCAAAATGATGTCAATTTGAAAAAAAAAATTGATATCTACAATGTGGAATAAAAACCTACATCTACAATGTGCTATAGAAATGGTATATTATATATATATATATATATATATATATATATATATATATATATATATATATATATATATATATATATATATATATATATATATATATATATATATATATATGTATATATATATATATATATATATATATATATATATATATATATACATATATATATATATATATATATATATATATATATATATATATATATATATATATATATATATATATATATATATATATATATATATATATAAGAAGATGATTTGAAAAAGATAAATAGGAAATTAGCTCATCTAACCAAAGAGCTAGCCAAGAAAAAGTATGATCAAGCTCAACAGAAGAAAACTAGAGAACTGAAAAAAGCTAGAATGGAGGAAATCTGCTTAGAACATCCAGAAGTTAAATATCATATATAAATAATAAAATAAATCCAATTTTCTTTTAAGTAGTTCATATTATCCAATTTTTTCGAGGGTTTTAATGCTCTAAATATTCAAAATATTTAAAGCATTAAAACTCTCGACAATTTGATATCCGAGATGTTCAAAATTGGATTCACAATCAGAAGACAAAAGACACGTAAAAACAGTTCCTGTTAGATTGATCAAAGCTCAGAATGAATCTCATTTAAAACATGTTGATGGGCTCTTCTGCAGTTCAACTATAAAATATGCGGAAGAAGTGTGTTCTATTTTGAAACTAGATGAAGTGCAATTCATTAGCCAAGACGAAAAGGCCAGAGTGCCAATTGAAATCACAAAAGCCAAAAAACAGGTGCCGCTGTTAATGCATTTAGAGTACCAGGTAACTCTCCCGGACCACAATTGGATCGTGGCTACTAAACAAAAGCTGATACCATCTCTATACGCTGGATCTACTATCAAAAGAGATGGCCTTGGAAAAACAGATGCTGTTACTTTTTCTGGAGCTACCTACATTGCTATTTGATCAGGAAAACATGCATACTCAACCGCTTTGCTCATGGATTAGATTTTCAGCGGCTCTTGGATATCTAAGAATTTAACTCTATTACTAAAGTTTCTCAAACTAATATAGTTAAGCCTATCTATATTTTTAGTGTAGATGGGGGACCAGACGAAAATCCCAGATACCAGGAAGTAATTAAAATCGGATTTCAACATGTCTTGAAGAATAACCTCGATGCTCTTTTTATCACGACGAACGTTCCGGAACTCAGTGCATTTAACCGAGCTGAGCGACGAATGGCACCTCAAAATAGAGAATTATCTGAGATGATTTTTCCACACGAGCATTACGGAACTCATCTTGATTCTTAAGGTAATAACAAATGTTCATTGACAAAACTTAATTCACAATATATAAAATAATTTTTAATACATTATAACCATTATATCTTTTTAAATCAGGCAGGACAATAGATAGAATTTTTGGTTTTGCCAGACAGGCTTTAGCAGATATATGGTCAGACCTAAAAATTGACGGCTATCCAAACGTTGTTGAGTATATTAATCCAGAGCAATCAGAATCAAGGAATATTTTATTACAAGATCAACGTTGGATTGCCCATCATCTTCGTACAAGTCATTATTTTTTCTCAAATTGTGAAATGTGAAAGTCGTTCTTGTTGTCGGACTATAAGAAGCTCTTACTTTACTTTAGTTGAAGCTCAACTTCTTCCGCCACCTGTTCCGGTCAGCCAAACAAAAGACGGTCTCAAAGCAGTAGATGTCTCAGAAGAAGCTAAAGAGTTATTTCCATCATCCCTGTTTATGCTCATTGCATCAAACATTAAAAGTATTCTTCCTCAACCTCCCAAAGGATTTTCAATTCTTCCGTATAATGCATTTTGTCCATCAGTTCAGTCTAGCCTAGCTGATTGAACCTGTAAAAAGTGCAATATGCTCAAGCTATGCTGAAAAAGCACGCTTCTATCCATTTTTCCGCTTTAACACTCGCTCCTATCAAAAGGGTCTGACCAGTTTGTAATGCTGCCAAGCGTCAGACAGAATTTATGGCAGTTGTCACCCGCAGAAGAATTCGGAAACTGCTGAATAGTTAGATAAAAATGAAGTTGACGCAACGGATCTGATTATACCTCAAGAGAACTTTTAGTTTGCGGAGAGCATTTACTTCCTATTGTTTCAATCGAAGATCACTTCAAATCACTGATATCATTTATGGACAGCCCCTTAGATGTTATTTTTGTTGCTTTAATTTTTTATATGATTTTTATTGATACTTTTTGTTATCTTTTTTGATAACGTTTTTATATACAATTTTATGTTTTAGTATGCCATCCAAGATGAAAGATTTGTTTAAAAAAGCTTTTTCTCGCAAATAAAAAAAAAAATACATATATTAATTAGACTTACATAAATATATATATTTAAATATAAGATTAAATATATTTATAAGATACTCAGTAAATAAAAACGATGCAAGTATTTTTTTTTGAAATAATGAAAAATTAAATATACTACAATTGGATTTCTTCCTTCTCCACAGTGCAGCAAAATTTATGAAATTGAAATAAACAAAATAAATTTCGACTAATGGATGAAAAAGTTATTTTACCTAATCATCGTCTTTAATGCTCTCGGACATTTTTGCGGTTAATTTATCTCATCAACAACTTCGTAACTGCCGGTAATAATAAAGCCGGATAAAATATTTACTTTGCAGAAATGAAAAGTAAGATAGACCCTAATAGTAATATATTTCATTTTGGACGACCGACTTATATGTAGTATTATAGATCCGTGCACTGTTAAGTGCATGTTTATTTTACAAAAAAATTTTTTTAGTGACCTATTAAATTTAATTTATTTAAAAAAAGATAAAACTGCAAGACATAACCAAGTTTGACATTGATAAATTGTTTATGGATATAAACCTTTTTTCTTCGCATCTTGAAACATTTTTTCAACTCTTGACAAGCAATCAAAAAGATGTTTTATATGATCAATAGAATGGTGAACTCTTTTTATTAAACTAGTAACTTCTTTACTTTTTACTTCAAGTTCGTTTTCTATACGAACTTTATCGTGCGTAATCTGGGAGCATTCATTTTGCAACGATGAGATGTTTTCGTTAAGAGAATCTTCTTTTTCTCTCCATTCCTTAGTTTTTAGTTTTATTTCTTTTGTTTTATTTAGAAGCTCAACGTCTTTTTTTTTGAGATTATCGCACATTTCTCGAAATTCTTCGTAAATTTCAAGTTGTTCTGTTTTTAGCGCTTCCATCTCTCGTTTAAAGCAAGAATCGTTATCAGCAACTTTTACTTTCTCGGCTTCGTACATACATTTATATTTTCTATTAAAAAATAAAGTAGAAATAACATTACTTGTGACGACATGCTCAGACTAATATTATTTTATAACTTACACAATTTCTTCGTCTTTATGTTGCATAACCTCGACCATTTTGACAAGTTCTTCATGGAAACGATCTCTCTCTTCTTCGATGGTGCTTACTTGACATTCGTATCCGTGTATATTTTGCTGAATGCTGCTTAGAGAGTCTGTGAAAAATATAAATTATCTTTTAAAAACTGAAGTTTCAGCGAGCACATAACATCGTAAGGACGTCTTATAGATGTAAAACCTTCATATGACGTTTGTGCTTACTGGGACAGTGATAACACTTTTATATTATTATTATTGTTATTATTATTATTACTATTGTTGTTGTTATTATTATTATTATTATTAAAAAAATCACAAGAATACTTATTGTATTAATATCTTGTACTAACTTTTCATATTTTCTAGATCGCCAATAAAATTTCTTTTTTTGTTGACTCTACTTTCCACACGAATAAATTCATTTTCATTTTTTAATTCTCTAGTTGGAGTTTTGTTTACTTTTTGATAATTCGTTTTTTCGAAGTAGGCAATAATTTTCTCGCGAGTCTTACTATGTGCGCTCTGAATAAAGTCTTGCACATGAAGAAAATTTTCAGTGATATCAGTACTAAACTGCTTGATAACAGCAGTCAATATGTCATTATCCTTTGCGTCACGATATTGATTTCGTAAACATTTAACTGTTTCTTCAATGCTCTCAAGTCTTGTAGTTAATACGTCACTGCAACGAGTACTCAATTCTTCTTGAAGTCTTAAACACTGGCTTTTCTCATCAATTAGTTTTTGCTCTAGTTCTTGCACCTTATGATCCCTTTCGTCGTGCTTTGAATCGTTCTCTTGATCAATTGCATTATTTATTGATGATTGTTTCTTTGCCGTAGAATTACAAACACGCATGTGATTTATATATATGTCTTTCATTTGTTCAATTTCATGTTTTAATTTTTCCTTTTCAGACATACAAACGTCTGCAGATTTTTCAACAAAAGCATCAGAATTCTTGTGAGAGGAAAATCTCTCATTAAAGGGTAAAGCAGCACCATTAATTTGAACATAGACTTGGCTTTCAAAATCGTGATCAACTTGAGCTAGCTCTACAGAGTTTAAAGATTCCACTTTAGATAAAAGAACTTCATGGGAATGACAAAGTCCAGAATCTACACGGTTGGTAAGGTCACTGATGTTATTAGTCTTCAAATTTTCAGAGCACGAACAAAGACTTCGCGTATGACACTTATTTCCCTCTATATACCATGACAGGTTTTTTTCGCGCAAAGTTTTTTTCAAAGCTTGAACCTCTTCTTGAAGGACTTTGTTTCTCATAAAGAGATCATCTCTCTCCAAATAAGTATCTTTAACCTATATGTATATATATATATATATATATATATATATATATATATATATATATATATATATACATATATATATATATATATATATATATATATATATATATAAATATATATATATATATATATATATATATATATATATATATATATATATATATATATATATATATATATATATATATATATATATATATATATATATATATATATATATATATATATATATATACGTATTAAAAGTTTACCACTCTTCATCATCTATCGCGTTTTTTTTTTTTAATTATTAGAATTAAACAAAAAAAATAGCAACCAAGATTACCTGATCTTTAGCTTCGGCTATGCTTTTAGAGAAAACCGCATTTCCGTTCGCCCTTTCAAGTGATGCACATTTATTTTCTAACCGTTGAATTTGAATCTTCAAATTTTCAATTTCATCTTTTAAACATTCCTGTTTTTCAAAAGATTCTTTAATTATTTCATCATTAGATTCTTGAAGATCTTTATTCTCTTTAACGTGTCGCTGAATTCGCTCTTCTAGCTCTAGTATTCAAAAACTTAAACAACTAAATTAAAACACTCACGCGATTACACAATTTTAAAACCACATTCAAACGTGCTATTTTTAATTGATTTGCCAAACCTTTTAACTATTAGCTTAACAAAGAAACTATAGTAAAATTTCGTTAAATAAAACGCTGAAACTAAGCGAATTAAATTTCGCTGAAATCAATTAAAAATAAAAGATAAAATTATAAAAAAATGAGTTAAATAATAAATTTTGGATTATTTTATTAATAAAACAATCATCAAAACTATATAAACTATTATAACCCTAACTTATTTTTCTAACCCAAATTTATTATTTTCAAACTGTTAAACCTCTTTATCTCTAAAGCTTAGCTTGAACAACTTTCATGGTTCTAATTAAAGAGATTTCACTATCTGCGCAGATATTGAAAAAAGTTTGCAGAAAATGTTCGCCTTAAAAACAATAAAAAGAAACAAACTGCAAAACTGTTTATTTCAAAAAGCGTGTATATATATATATATATATATATATATATATATATATATATATATATATATATATATATATACATATATATATATATATATATATATATATATATATATATATATATATATACATATATATATATATATATATATATATATATATATATATATATATATATATATATATATATATATATATATATATATATATATATATATATATATATATATATATATATATATATATATATATATATATATATATATACATATATATATATATATATATATATATATATATATATATATATATATATATATATATATATATATATATATATATATATATATATATATATAATATGAAATACTGATTGTTACCTTCGATTCTTTGGATACTATTAGCCGATGATTGGTTAAATCGATTCGTATTTTCTTTAGCTTTTAAGTCATTATCAATGTATTTTGAGTTCAAAGTTTCTAACTGAAATTCAAGTTTTTCAATTTGTCTGCACTTTTTATCATTGTCTTGCTTTAAGCTAACAACCCGTTCGTTAAGGTCGTGAATAATCGTTTCTTTTTTATTAAAGCTAGCATACATTCGTTTAGATTTTTCTTGTTCTTTTTCATATTTTACATGGAGATCTGATAAATTTCTTTCTAAATTTGTTTTTTCTTTATTTATATCTTCAAGTTTTTTTTTAGTGTCATCGAGTTGCCGCTCTAGATTTTCTGTTTTGTATTTATACTGGTTGATTTCTTTTCGATAACTTTCGACAGATTCTTCCAAAAATGTGATTTTTTCTAACGCATTAAAAGAAAGTCCGCTTTTCCATTCTTCTTCACTCCAACTCATGATAATAAATATCGACTTAAATATAAATAATGATTTAAATATTTCTAACACGTATACTCTATTTACAAAGTGCTTTTAAAATATCTACCATTTTAAAATCAGGTAAACAGTATTTCGAGCTTTCACTTTTAAAAAGAACTCCTTACAAAGAAGTTAATGAACATACTTTTACTTAAAACCGCCATCTATTAAATAATTTCGTGCAAAAACGTGAAAATTTTTTCATTAAAAAAATGAATATTGTTCTTTATAAAAATTTTGTATGAAAAAAAACGTAGTATAGTAGAATCTTGTAATGTGGTATAATAAATACTGTATAAACCAACTTATTTAAATTTAAAATATTTTAAAATATATTATGATGAAAAATAAATGATAGTGTTTTGAAGTTCAGATAAAAAAATTTTCAAGGTAATTGTTTTCGGGAAAACAATATATTTCTTGTTATTTTATATATTTTTTTTAAATAATAAAAAGCGATGTGGAGAATCTAAAGGGTTTTTTTAGCAATAAATTTTTTATTTGTTTTTGTTTCCAAATTATATTCTTGTGAAGTTTGAAGTTGTTATCTTGTTAATCTAATTCTAATTTTTGATTAACAAAACAAAGCACTGTGAAAAATCTACAAAAAAAAAAAAAAATTAAACAAACTTCCTTTATCGAGGAAAATTGAATTTAAGCACAAATCTTGGTCAGAATGATTGGCATAACATATCAGTAATTCTCTTTTCTCGTTAAAAAGGTTTTGAACGTATTTCCAACTTCATCAGCTGGAAGCACTTCTGTGCAAGCCTGAAGACAAACACAACTATTAATAGCATTAATGCAAAAAACTTTAAAGAAGAAGAAAAGGTTTCTAATCAGATCTTAGAGCAATTTATATCTCTTGTAAGACTTTTAGATGTATAAAACTTGACTATTCGTGGCAGCAGTGATAAACTTTATGCTCATGACAATGGCAACTTTTAAAAAATTCTTTTCCTTGATTTGGTATATATTTGGGTTAAAATTTGACATTGTTCAATCTTCAAGAAAATCATTTCAATCTGATAATGAAGAGTTCTACGAAAGTAGCATACTAAAAGTAAAAAAACACTTTTTGAATTTGTACCATTTACAGAGACCACAGGTAAAGTTATGAGCCACATTATAATAAACCACCTTAAAAACTTTTGATTGCAAATGATAATAGGAGCAATATAAATGAAAAGAAAATAGGCCTGCAAAAAAAAATTCTGGGCGTTATTCCTTTGGTTTCTATATCCCTTGCAGCTCCAGGATCCTTAACCTAGTGGTTAACGATGCTGTATGTGTTGCTTTAAAGCGACAGCCTTTTTCGATGTTATTTAACAACTGTATGTATCGTTGGCTGCATCTACACGTCAATAAGATGTACTGAAATATCACAAACCATCTTGAACTATTAAACCATTGAGTGATACTCGTTGATTAAGCAGGATTGATGCCTTAATTCTCATCAGGTACCTATTACCACAAGCGTACGTCGCATTTTTGAAATTACTGAAAGTTTGACTCTTTTTGGCACCATGACTAGGGTTAAAGCTATAGGTCTTCTTAAGAGCGAATCTTCATTTATGTTTTTTACGGCAGTTGTAACATAGCATAAAATATTATTTAAGATCAGTTTGACAGGTAGACTGCAAGAAAACATTTTACTCTTGAGAAAACAGTAAATGAGCTCAAAAATACAGAGGAAATTGAGGCGATTTTCCAACTAGAGATAAAAAGGAGGAAGAAGAAATTCTTTACTTATGAATCAGAAGATGAACCCTTTGGTAATCCCAAAGAGAAGTTCTGAGTTAAATTTTTGTTTTTTGTAATATTTGACACTGCAATTAACTCCGTAAAAAAGCTGTTTGTACAATTGAAGAAATTCATTAAATTATTTGTAATATAATTTATTATTTTCTATGAAATATATTAGCAAATTTATAAAATTTTCTGGGGTCACAAAAAAAATTTTGCACTAAGACGGCAAGAAGGCTAAGGCCGGCATTGAATATAAGTGACCTCAAGATAAAAAGTTCGAAAAAACTGATTTTCTTTATTAATTTGGAAAGAGCACTAACGCAACATTATCCTGGAAAACCCCATCTTTTTAAAAGGGCATTGACGCAACAGTTCTCTGCTCCGAAATTTAAGGAATAACATCGCATACAAAAAGTTGCAAATCTGGAAAATGTGTTGAGCTATCTTATCTAAACAATTTAGAAAATGGGTTTTTAAATTTGTCTGTAGCCCTTCGAATCATATAGACTTTACCAATACCGATGGCAATAAAAACGTTATATACCCTGTTCATACTGACAATGTAAAATACGTTAAATTTTTTAAAGCATATATCAAATAGTTATTGTAAAAAAATGTATTAAACAGCAATAATATCGCAAAGTTATTTTGTATTATTATAAAAGTTTTGTGTTAATGTAAAACAAACTTGCTATATTATCGTTGTTTTATACAGATTTTAACATTGAAAATATACGTGTTAAAAGTAATAAATTTCTGATTGTCAGGAAAAAGTAGAAAATATTTAAATAAATGTGGAGTATAAGCTAGACATTCAAGCTAAAAAATTAGAAATTAATAAAAAGAACCCAAATATTTTGGATAAAAAATGATCTTAAAAAATTATTAAAATTGAAAAAGTCCCTTAAATTTTGCAGCTGTTTCTCAGGATGGAAAGTTTCATCTCTTTTGAACGAATACAAAAAAAATTCCTTTCAGTGGAAATCAGCCAATAATAGTCCTACATTTATAAAAGGAAGTAAACTGTCGCCGTTGAATTATTGTCCAATTTCACTCACTTATGTACCTTGTAAAATTCTGGAATTTAAGATTTGATTATGAATTTTCTAATTAGAAAATTCATAATCAAATCTTTAATTTCAGAACTTTATTTAGCTAAATACAAAAAATCTTCTTTCAAAAAATCAACACGGCTTTGTTAAGAAAAGATCTTATTCCATAAACTTTATTGAGACATTGGATGTAAACTCGTATTATTTATCGCAGAATATACCTGTTAACGTAATCTACTTAGACTTTGCAAAGGTATTTGATTCGATGCAAGATAAAAGACTACTAATAAACTTAAATGTTAACAAAGAGTTGTTATGGGAGAAACTGCATCATCTTGGAAGGATATATTTAGTGGTGTGCCGCAGAGCTATGTTTTTCTCTCTTTACTATTTATTATTTGTCTGGGAACTTTGTAAATATTTCAAAGATGTATGCCGATGATGCATAGGTATTATCAAGTGCTGACTATAAAGCCTATTGCAAAATGACCTAGATAAAGCTGTCAACTGGTTCTAACAAATGGCTATTGAAGTTTAATTTTGAGAAATGTTTACGGAAGTTTTTTTATGCAAAAATCAAATGACTCTACGTGCAAGTAAAGAAAATAAAGTTTTGTGTATGTTGAGGAATACATTTTTAGGTTTAAACAGCGAATTAAAAAAAAACTATATACAAAGCTTTAGTAAGACCGTTGAATGAAAATATCAGTGTGGTCTTAAAAATAAAATAATCTTTTAGAAAAGGTTCAGCATCGTGCTACAAGAATAATATTTTCATCAAAAAAAAAATTATTTAAAAGTTATGAGAAAAGATTTTATAAGTTGTGTCTCACTACTTTAGTTGTATGACGGATTCAAGAACCTAGGGAAAAAGTAGTGAGTTTTGTTAAACTATCCATAACAACCATGGTTTAAACTTAAAAGCCTTTTTCAAAGTTTGTAAAACAAAAAAACTTTTCTTAAAAGGTGTAATTATAATGAGTCATGATGAAAAGATCAATGAGTCAGCAGAAACGAAATGAGCTTTGATGATGCTTGAAACAATTTTTTGAAAATATAAATTTTATTGACTAGCAAAGATCATTATGAAAAAGAAGTTCAATATGTAGTTGTCCATAAATTACGTCACGCAATTTTTGACCCCTGCCCTTGTGACAACATCGTAACTTTTTAGTAACAAGTAAGAGTTGTCACAAAACCCCTAACCCCTTAACTCCCCTCCCCCCTCTTTAGAGCGTAAAGTAGTTTATGGGCAACCCATATTCTGGTGTTGCTGTATGTATTGTAGACTCCAAAGCTTCGATATTATCAGGACAAAATCTGATTCCAAACATAAAGAATTATCATTCTTTTCAGTTTTTCCCTGATAACATGATAACAATTAAAAAACTATATTTCTAACCCATTTCAATTAAAAAAAAAGTTCATCTTGAAGTTTAATATTTCTTTCTTTCATTGTCAATGTCTAAATACTAGTTTTATACTTTTATATTTTTTATTTTTTTTACTAAAAATAGTTTTTATCAAGTACTCTTGCTCTCGATTTTTAAAAATTAAAACTGTTTGAATATTTTCAATCTCTTTTGGTACCTCTCCCGATTCAAGGGATAGCTTGAAAATATGTCCAACAGCAATACTTTCTGAGCAGGTACTCGGTACATGCAGTTGGACTTCATTGTTTTTACAGGTTTCATGCTTGTCCAAAGTTTTTAATTTTAGAATAATTTCTTTTAAGCTGATTATTTTATTAATATCATTTTCACAGTAAACTTGAGTAAGATGATCGAATATCGGTTTTGTTATCAAGTTCATACAGATTAAAAAAAGCGTTCATCAAATTCAAAATATTTAAAAGGTTCTCACTAGCTGTACCATTTAGAAGACTTAAAGTGAAAATTCCTTTCTTATATTTTTGTTTGCTGTTCACGTATGCATAAAATTTTTTAGGGTTGGATTTAGAGTTTTTAGATAATTTATATTCAAATTGTTTCCAAGCAGTATAAATAGAATTTCAAGTTTTATTTTTAATAAGCTTATATATTGTTAACAATTTGTAATTATTTCTACCTGGTTTAACAAACTTTAACCTAGGACCCTACGAATTAGCATTTTTAGTTTCGAATCGAATCTCAAATCGAAGCAGCACTTGATTCGCAAACCGTATCGAATCTCGAATCAAATCACAAATTTAAGTAAATCCGAGTTTAAGTTTTTTATCTCACAATAGAATGTTATTTGAATAAGCTCTTAGAAAGTTATTTGGAAAGGCTATTGTGTTTACTGTCGATTACTCATCCTCCCAC